TATGTAATTGAACTTAGACATATCAAAGCTAAATATCTTTATCATCAGATCATGTTCCCTTAGTGTATATATATGTCACACTTAATTATATATATGGCCATGTTTGTTTGGTAATTGCAAGTGACTGCGACTACAACTCCAACTGTGAAATTTTAGAATCATGAGAGATTGTTTGTTTCCTAATAATTAGGCGTCGTAATATTTTTTTTTTTGCAATAACAAATTTCATTCGCATTCGCAGTCGCAGTGAACTTTTTTATTGGAATAATTAGAAAAGTTTGGAGCGAAGTTCATACATTTTTTCAGGCCCAAAACCAGAGCATGTTATATGGTTTCGCCCCAAACACTATTCGAATCGGCGACCTCTAAGCTTTTGCCAAATATTTTTACCAATTGAACCGGCAGTTGCAGTGATTCATTGCATCATTGGTCGAAAACTCTACTACGAAACGAATATTACTATAGCCAGTTTTTTTTTATTTTATATAAACCTTTATTGTTGAGTTTTTGCTTAACAAATGGTGAATATATACCTAACTGGTGTTTACTGTTAGATTGAGATTGGTTTTTATATACTTAACCAAAATGATCAATCCAAAAGACTTTTTATACAAATTGGGGATGGCTTCAACGACGGATATAATAGTTCATAGTGACGATAACTCCACTGAACCTTTTTAAACGACAACATAGGAGTCGTCTTGTCTTTTCATCTACGAGAGAGAATCACATCACTCCAAATCCAAAATCCAAATCCAAGTCCAAGAGAAGCCTCTGGTGCCGACAGAGAGTTAACATAACATTCTTATCAATCTTGGTTCTTTTGTTTTTCAATAATCAAAACATTTATATGTATACATACTGCATACAAGGTTCTTAACTAGTACACGTACGTAGCTTAGTATCCAGATACAAAAAAAACCATATATGCATTAAAACAATTAGGCATCCTTTATATAGTTTTGTTTTGTTTGTTTCAAAAAAAAAAAAAAAACAATTAGGCATCACTCATTATTAACGAGATTTTTAGTTTCTACACACACATATATATATATATATATATATATATATATATAATATCTTATTATATAAGCATGCATATATATATATATATATATATATATATGTGTGTTTATTAATTTTTTCATTTCATATACTATTACATTTTTTTATGCCATACATCTAATAACTAAATTAAGAATTTTGATCAATTTTTTGAAATATATAATAACATATATTGACTCTAATTGTTAACATACATAATGGTATAATGGCATTTGTTATGCGGGTATACAAAAAAAACCTTAACAATAATTAAACATTTGAATAATATTTTGAAAACGCAAAGAAATCAAATTTACGTTTTTGCCTAAAATATACAAAAAAATATACCATTATACAATTCTGCATTTTTTGGGCAAATTTAAAATATAACTCTTTTCAAATACCACTTTTTGAAAATATTCATTTTCAAACTTTATAACAAAGGGGGAATTTCAAAAATACCCCTTTTCATATACCTCTTTTTAAAAATACCCCCTTTTAAACTTTATCAAAAAACCCACTAAAAATATTGAAATTTATCCAAATATGTGTGTAAGCTTATAAATATATACACAAATTACCTTTATATGTGTATAAAACTTTATATACCTTTCATAAATAGTGTAAAAATAAATTATAAAAACCTTATAAAAACCTTATAAAAACCATATAAACCCTTTTAAAAACCTTTTAAAAACCTTATAAAACTTATAAAAACAATTTAAAATATTTTTAAATATTTGTATCGAATCTCCCAGTAGTAGTTATTATATAGAAGTACCTTATAAACTGTATAAAACTTTATAACTTTTTATATTTAAAAAGGGGTATTTTTGAAAATGGATAGATAAAGGGGGTATTTTTAAAAAGGGGTACACCAAAAGGGGTATTTCTCAAAAATTCTCATAAAAAACCAATAAAAATATTGAAATTTATCCAAATATGTGTTTAAGCTTATAAATATATATATACAAATTACATTTATATATCTGTTATATTTCATAAATACTGTATAAATACCTTATAAAAATATTTAAAAACCTTTTAAACCGTTTTAAAAACTTATTAAAAACCCTATAAATCTTGTAAAACGATTTAAAACCTTTTAAAACCTTAGAAATTATTTGGTTCGAAGCTCCTAATAGTATTTATTATCTAGACGTACCTTTTAAAGCATATAAAATAATTTTTCATATTAAATAGTGGTATTTTTAAAAATGAAAAATGGATAGATAAAAGAGATATTTTTTTAAAAAAAAGGTACACCAAAAGAAGTATTTCGCAAAAATACTCATTTTTTTGGGGTGAAAAAAATTATGCATTGTTTTTTTTTTTTGGTAGAAGAGAGGAGGTAAAACCTCCTATTTATTAAAAAGAATTATGCATTGTTACCAATCAGAATCATATTTATGTTTTTTTATTTCGTTATTCTGCAAAATATATCTATTTAACATATTTTAAAAATAATTTTACTCTGCGCTATTTATTATGCGGTTATGCAATATTACTAATCGAAAATTTTATGCATAATTAAATTTCAATGGTGATGTGACAAAGTAACAATAGTAACATAAACTACGACAGACTACATATGTTTGTCCAATTGATAAAAACAATTATGAAAATAGAAAGGATCACATCTGCAAATCTTGTTAAATTTTAATCGTCGTATTCAAATCTAATATCTATCAATAATTAAATGTGACTTAATAAAACTTAAACTAACAAAAAAAGTGACTAATACAAAAACTAAAAATAAAATAAATAAATCGTCCAACGAAACAATGATTAAACCTCTTTATCATAGACAGTATGGAATCCACTCCTCGCACCACCACCGAAACGATCTCTTCCATTTTGTCTTTTGCTTCACCTAAAAGAAATAAAATTGTAGTTGCCAAATGAATAATAATAATATATAACTCTAAAAAAATATCTAAGAAAAATTAAAATTATTTTGAAATTAGCTTAAGTCTTCTAGAGACAGACAGTTCGTATCTCATATATACACGTTATCTCCCAAAATATAAGAGGATAAAATTTTGATTTATTCGTATTTTTCGTCCAATCGTATCCATTCTTTAAATGGTTTAAAAGACATTTTTAGGAAAAAATAAAAGTTGAAATAACAAAACCAAAGTTATGAGAATGAAAAAGGAAATTAAATGCGTCACGGAGGAGCACTAAGACTAGAAAGCATTTGGTGGTCAATGTGTCAAAACCCCACTTCTTATTAAACAAATTAAAAAGAAGAAAATAACAACAAAACACACTTCTCATATATATATTTTTGAAAATAATTTTTTTAAATGGGTATTGCATTATTGTTTAGCAAGAGATCCCACTTGAGTTTAGCATTTCTCTTCTCTCTTCTTTGATCTCTCTTTATAACATTTATTTATATACTCCAAAATTTTGTTCTAACCAATATATTAAACAAGAAGAGTGTAGCTAATTTTTACAACTTGACCATACATATGATACTTGATTAATGTATCAAAAATTTGTAAATCTATGTTAGATTTTATGGATGAATATATAATATATAACAACTTTTTGTGTTTTTTTTTTTTTAACATTTACCGATCGTAACGATTTTTACTATGTCAAATTAACGCAAAAAGGCGAAATTTTGACAGTCATATATAACATTTTCCCTTTATATAATTTATTTCGACCAGATATTAAGGTTCCTAGTTCGCAAGAGATTAGATGTATGGTCGTATACTTGTATTTAACAAACAAAAACATGTGTAAGAGTTGGTGTTTTGTCTTTAATGAATAATTAAGGGAATCTCTTTTTTGTCTATTTTATTCTTGGAAAAATATGTAATGTTAGGGTAGACAAAACATTAATACGCATTTTGGGTCTAAAGATTTGATATTCAATCTAGTCGGATGATTAGTTAGGACAACTAATTATAGTACAAATATATCAAAATCCTAATTGCTTTAGGGGTTTGACTTGACGCAAATCTTACCTATTAACTATTAGGTATGATTATTGTACCTATTAACTAATTTAACTTACAAGATTATATATAAACAAGAGTGATTGGAGTGTGTTTAACGTACGTATTAGTTTAGGATTTAGGGATATTAATACTAGTTCATAGCAAAACTCCTAATTGAGAGCCTTAGAAGCTGCCTTACGCATCTTACTTTTTGTGTGTTTATACTTTATACGTAATGTCATGTAACTTATATGCCTATTAACAACTTTGAAATATACGAGTTTCTTTCACGTACAATTTCGAAATATTTGTTACCCTTTTTGGTAATGTTTTTTTTTTTTCGAGTGTGTCCAATATGGTTTCGTGGCCAACACCAATGGCTACGGATCGGCACCAAAGGTGGATTCAACAGTAAAATGTTATAAAACATTCTCATGAGATGGTAAAGAATATGAATGAATGAGAAGTAATCTTGATTTTGAAAGAATCACAAAGTGATAGATAGAAATATCGAGAGAAATAAATAATTTGTGTACTATATTGTAAAAAAAGATATATGTTGTATATGCACACACAATCATCTTACCACCTACTACTACTACTTGATCATATTCATACAAAAACTATGTGATATACCAACTTTAATATGATGCACACACGTGTTACGCATTGAAAATAAAAGAATCACACAACATGTATATATGTGTATACAATTATTTTTCAATTTTGTTTATATTTTCTCTACTACTTTGAAGTCGACTAAAAAAAAGTTAAAACAAAATTCCAAAATGAATTCTTATATAAATGATATGCATATATGTAAAAGTAACTAAATATGTAACTAATTAATTCATATCTCTAAAGTGTAAACACTAAGGTCATTAAAATATTCTAAAAGATACGTAGACGTATTATTGAGTGAACAAAATAATGAGTGTATCTTTTCTAGCTTTTGCTTCGACTATAAAAAGGAGTCATCTCCCATTAGGTTTTGCCTGCCTCAAACAAATATAGAGCTTATCTCATTCACTTCACCAAAACAAAACTCTCCTCAATATAAAGAGAGAGTGTGTGTGAGAGAGAGTCATACACACACACACACATACACAAAAATAGATATAGAAGTGTTGTATAACTAGAGATACATATATTCTCAAATAGTGAAGATGAAAGGTGGGAGAATGGAGAGTTTGAAGCCAATATTGGCGATCATATCACTACAATTTGGGTATGCAGGCATGTACATTATCACCATGGTCTCGTTCAAGCATGGTATGGACCATTGGGTTCTTGCTACATACCGTCATGTCGTTGCTACTGTTGTCATGGCTCCCTTTGCTCTCATTTTCGAGAGGTAACACAACACTATACACTCATGCACATATCTAAGTTTATGTATTTATGTATATGCATGGATGAATCATTATTGTGTGTGTTTGGTTTGTAGGAAGATAAGGCCGAAGATTACACTACCAATATTTTGGAGGCTTCTTGCTCTTGGAATACTAGAGTAAGTCTCTTTCATTAACCCATCTTTATTTTTTTTCGGGTTGCCATTAGAAAGTTCGGGTTCATACAACTTTTTTGCAAAAATCCAAAGTTGCTTTTTATAGTTGTAATGCAAAATTCACGAGTTCGAGTACGTTACTTTATCATGTTAATTTTGGTACGTTACTTTCATTTTTTTTTTGGCGAGCACTTGGGTATACGTTACTTAGGGAAATGAAATATTCATATATACTAAAAATAAAATTAAATAGACTTATAAATTGATGACCAAAAAAAGACTTATAAATTATGATTTTTGTTTTCTCTAGTAAATATATAATTGTAAATAATGTTTCTTCGGGGTTTTAACGTTGTTGACAAAAGAAAAATTACGATCAAAAAATCGATATTAAAATTTCGTATAAAGCTGAAAATACGAGATATAAATCGATATTCTCTTATTTAAAATTTTGACTAAGAAGTAATTTACAAACTTATTAGAAACTATTTACTTTGATTCAAACTTTTACAACCGTGAAGTTTATAAGGAGAGAAACAAAACTATGAAAATTGGTAAAATATATATATCTTGATTTAACTGATTGGGAATGAGATCAGCATTCACAAGGTCACAACAAACATCTTTAAATGTGAATGTGTGCTTACTAGTTATCCTACGTACACGTTTTCCTCTTTTTGATCTTTTGGGAAAAAGCATCTACTTAATTATTTATATGCATCATAACAAAAGATGATGTGATGTAATGATAAAGCTATGAACAATGGTTTTATATGTATGTGTAAATGATTCAGGCCCCTTATGGACCAGAACTTCTACTACATAGGATTGAAAAACACATCAGCATCGTACACTTCTGCCTTTACCAATGCACTACCCGCCGTCACCTTCATTCTCGCCCTCATTTTCAGGTACTTTCAATTCATTACGACTTTCTTGTCATTTACTTTTATGTAATCTATAGTTTTGCTATAGATGATTAAGGATATGTTACTATTAATGAAACGATAGGTTTGATTATGCATTGCTTAAATGATTGAGGATATGTTACTATTAATGAACTAGACATAGTGTGAAAGTGGTCTTATTAACTCACTAATTTTCAATGTTTATGATCAGGCTTGAGACGGTTAACTTTAGGAAGATTCATAGTGTTGCAAAAGTGGTGGGAACGGTAATCACGGTAGGAGGAGCAATGATTATGACCTTGTACAAAGGTCCGGCCATCGAGATTGTGAAAGCCGCGCATAGTTCCTTCCATGGCGGTGCTGCTAGCACCGCAACAGGCCAGCACTGGGTCCTAGGAACCTTAGCTATCATGGGGAGTATCTCTACTTGGGCTGCCTTCTTCATTTTACAGGTAGATTGATTAATATTTTCTGATTTAAGTATCGAATTTTTCGGGTTTTGAAATTAAATAATGTTGATAAATAAGAATTAACATTTTTTTTCTTTTTTTTCTTCTTTTGTAGTCATACACATTAAAAGTTTATCCAGCTGAGCTATCACTTGTAACGTTGATATGTGGGATTGGGACGATCTTAAACGCGATTGTTTCGCTAATAATGGTTCGCGACGTGAGCGCTTGGAAGATCGGTATGAACTCGGGGACACTCGCCGCGGTTTACTCGGTAAGTTAATCACTTATTAATCAACAATTCATAAACACTAACACTAAATAAACTTGTCAACTAAAACCTTATTATGCTTTCAGGGAGTGGTATGTTCGGGAATAGCTTATTACATACAAAGCATTGTGATCAAACAACGTGGCCCTGTGTTTACTACATCGTTTAGTCCTATGTGTATGATCATTACTGCCTTCCTTGGTGCCTTGGTTTTGGCTGAGAAGATTCACCTCGGAAGGTAATAAAAGTCACATCTAATCAAATCTTTATATTTCAAGATTATTATAAGGTTACACATTACTAACGTATATTGTAATCTTTTGCAGTATCATTGGGGCAGTGTTTATAGTTCTTGGACTATACAGTGTGGTATGGGGAAAGAGTAAGGATGAAGTGAATCCATTAGATGTGAAAGTTGTAACCAAGGACCAAGAGTTACCAATCAGTAACGTAGTCAAACAAACGAACGGTCATGATGTGTTGGGTGCACCACCAGCTAATGGTGTGGTGGTGACTAGAGCCTAATGATCCAAACCAAACCCCAAAAAAGAGAAGAGAAAGATACAAAGACAAAGATCTCATATCTCCATATATGAAATTGGAGTTTGGGAAATTTTGATTTATCTCTTTCTTGTTGTTTTTGTGTTTTTATTTTACTTTTTTTCTAATCGCTTAACTTTTTAGTATCTTTTCTTACTTATGTATGTTTTTGTTTTTACTTTTGTGTATTTTGAAATTTCCAAAAGCAAATGATGAATGAATCATTTGGTAAAATTACGAGTAAGGAAAAATAATAATAATAATAACAAAAATAGTCAAATCTGTTTAATCCAAGAATTTAAGGATATGAATTTGGATAATATATAAAATAAAGAGATTTGTTTTTGTGTTGTAAACTTTATAGATTAGAAACATGTACTACTAATTGGGTCACTTGTCTTTGTCTTCTCCTACTGGATCTCACTATCTCTCTTTTTCTCACCATTTCTATTAGGCTTCCAACTAAAACTTGAATCAAATTATTTCGGTTGAGATCGATTATTGTAGATAAACCCGAACTTAAAAAGTTTGTTTGGATGATTGTAATAAGTATTCCAAAAACTTATTAACCAAAAAAATGGAACCATTTGACCTAATAAACACCTTCATTTGAATCGTAGTCCAGCTTGTACCTAACTCCAAACTCTTTTTCTTTCGCGCATTAGAATTTGGAAAACGAAAGCAAAGAAGACTCAGTTGTTGAATACGAGTCACTACAAAGGTAGAATTTGATAAACTCCTTTATGCCAGACTATCCTGTAAAGTCTTAGATGACTTTTCCACTTTTTTTTACGAGATAATACTATTTAGCTCTGTCTACTCAGATCACGCTTTTATTAATCAGTTATTAATTTACTGATTCATATATTTATAACTGACTTCTGTCAACAATTATTCGACAAATCCGTCCTCTTATGTGAGAGCTAAGAGCATGTCCAATGGTAGTATGCTATCAAAAAAGTTTAGTAATTTTTTACTAATAAATGGTATAATTTTTGAAAATAAGAATTTTTTGAAGATAATTAAAATTATCCACTTCCAATGGTAAAACTCTTAACTGGAGTTTTTAAAAAAGTTTGAAAACTAAAATTTTATAAAACATAAAAATTATTTATTTGTAACACACATAATATAAACATAACTAAAACATAATAAAAACACATAACACAAATCATATTTTAATTGTTGCCAAAGTTTTGCAAAAAAATTCTTAACCAGATCAGGCAAGAGATGAAATTGTTTTGTTGCCTGAGAGAACGAGAGAGAGAGATGGAGAGTTTTGTTGTTTTGGTCGAAAGAGATCTTTGGTTGGAAGAAAAAGATAATTTCAAAAATATATCTTTTCAAATACCACTTTTTAAAAATATTCCATTTTCAAAATTTATCAAAAATCCATTGAAAATGTTGAAATTTGTCCAAATATGTGTGTGACCTTATAAGTATACACAAAAAAATTATATATATTTCATAAATAGCGTAAAAGTAATTTATAAGAACCTTTTAAAAACCTTAAAAACCCTTTTAAAAACATTTTTAAAACTTTATAAAACCTGTATAAAAGATTTAAAACACTTTAAAACATTATAAAATATTTGTATCAAATCTTCCAATAGTATTTATCATATAGAAGTATTTTATAAACCATATAAAACTTTATAATTTTTCATATTTAAATAATTTTGTTTTTTTCTTAAACTCTCTTGTACCGACACGTGTGCGTAAGAAATTATCTCAAAACTTCTTAACTAAGAGATATCTCTTAGCTTAATATTGATTTTTGATTTATTTTTTGCCCTTTTATTTTTAAGATACTGGTTAAAAAACATGCATTGGACATGGTCTAAGACCGAAGCTAGCTCTCTTTAATTTCTTCAGAAAACAGTGTACGCCTAATTTATTTGGTAAAATCTGTGGATATAAGAGATTAGGGTCGAAATTTGGATATTAAACAAAATAGAGGGGTTTGTTCTATAAACTTGTAAAAGTAAAAAACACAAACGTGAAACATGTTGTGTAATTGGATCACTCTGGTCTCTCTTCTTCTTTCTCCAATCATCATACCGATTTTCACTTCTTCCTCAACCTCACCGGTAAAAATGGCGATGTGGGTATTCGGGTACGGATCTCTAATCTGGAAAACAGGTTTCCCTTTTGACGAAAGCCTCCCTGGTTTCATCAAAGGCTATCGCCGAGTCTTTCACCAAGGTCTCTCTCTATCTCTATCCATCTCTGTTACACAATCTTGATTTATGATCTTTAAGTTATAGTAATGTTGTTATTACACAATCTTAGGTAGTACTGATCATAGAGGAACTCCAGAGTTTCCTGGAAGAACAGTGACATTAGAATCTGCTGATGGAGAAGTTTGTGTAAGTCTTTAATGATGTAAGAACCAATCCAATTCTTTAAAAGATTCACATTAATGATTTGATTTATACATAGTGGGGAGTTGCTTATAAGATAACCAAAGAGGAAGACAAAAGAGATGCTTTAACAGTAAGTGGTTTGGTTCAGAGTTCAGACATATTTGTGTTGTTGTTTGATGTTCTGTTTGTGATGTTTTTTTTTTGGATTCTTGATCAGCATTTGGAAGTGAGGGAGAAGCAATATGATCAGAAAGAGTATCTTGATTTCTTCACTGTGAGTGTTTATTCTAATTTCAAGAAATGGTCTTCTGGTCTTTGTTTTGGTTTGAAGTGTACTTGTAATTTGCAGGAGTCTAATTCAGAACCGGCTGTAACAGGAGTGATGGTGTAAGAACCCGGATACGATTAGATTACGATAACTCGGTGTATCTATATAAACAAGTAACAATATCGATGTGTATGTTCTTTGTTTTACTCAAGATACATAGCTTCACCTGACAAGAAGAGTAACAACAACTACTTAGGACCAGCTTCTCTTGAAGACATTGCCAAGTAGGTGGTCTTGTTATTAAGGTCTTTCCTATTAGTATATAAGGAAGATTGCATTTTTGATTCTTGATTCTTGCATTTGTTGCAGACAGATAGTTAAAGCTGAAGGACCTTCAGGGCCAAACAGAGACTATCTTTTCAACCTCGAAGAAGCTCTCGCTCAACTCGGTAAGTTAACTTTTTGTCAATGACTAAGTAGTTTTTGGTTTCAGATTATAAAAATACCAACCATGGTTTTTGTGTTCTTTGATGATACCAATCAGGGTTTAAAGATAAACATGTCACAGATCTCGCAAACCAAGTTAGGCACATTCTTTCAGAGACCGAGGAGTCGTCAGTTGATGATGGTACCGCCAACAATGTCTAGATTTCGCAGTTTCTTTTCGATACGAGATGCATATTGCATCCCAATTCAATGTGTTGTTATCACTATCAATCAACTCTCTGCTTATTCATATTTGATTAAAAATTGTGGAGTGGGTATAAAGATCATTCCCGGTATACGATTCCTCAAGTTGTAGTCTTGAGTGTGGGATTCCCACTTAGTTATCACTGTAATTAAAAGTTGGACATATATTATTACCTGCTTAATATTTCATCATAATCTGTGGTTATCCTTTTATACCCAAACCATCTTTACAAAATCCAATTCAGAGTCATACCAATGGTTAAAGAATAAAGACTAAAGTAACAAAATGTCATTAGCAGATACAAACAAACATAAGCTACACTGAGAGGCATCGAAGTCGAGATAATTGTTATATATCAGTTGCTTTCTTCTCCATCATCATCCCCTGCAAACAAAGCCACGGATCATCAGTTTTAGAACTTGAACAGTTGGTTGATGAGAGATCAAGATTCTCACCGTTGCTTGATTCTTCTTCTTCTTCGGTTGGACTTTCTTCAGCTTCTTCTTCGATTGGACTTCCTTCTGCTTCTTCATTATATTCCTCTTCTTCTTCTTCGCTATACACTTCATTTTCAGAATATTCTGGTTCATCACTCTCACTCTCACTCTCGCTTTCAGCCGTTATTCTCGGCTTTGGAGGAGGTGCAAAACTTGTGATGGATCTTCTCCTTGAAGATGATACAATGTTGCTTGCATCAATACCCTCGAGCTCTTCTGAAATATCTCTCCTATTGTTGACTTCTTTGATCTCTGTCAGCGTAAAGCCAGAGAGTTTATTTAGAGGTTAAGATCAGTTGAACTAAGAATCAGTTCATAAAAACTACTGAAGTAAATAAATAAAGTGGAAAATATAAGTTTTGTTCTAAGCAAACGAAATCATTCTCAGCGTCACACTACCTTTATTCGAAGGATTTGAAGACAGCCCTTCTTTGGCAAGTATCTGCTCAAGTTCTTCTATTAGAATAGCCTCACGTTTCTCTTCAGCAGCCTTGTTGGCTTTTCTGTAAATGTATGGAGGAACTCTGCAAAGAAAAAATGATAAAGTGCATGTAGTATGAATAAACACTGAAATTCTTAAAGATGTTACAAACTTTGATACGCACCTCATCCTACAAGATTTGAAGACTGATTTGAGATGCTCAGCACGCTCTCCATAAACAGTAATTGCAGTCTCCTTTGTCTGCTGTTGAACAACATAAATGTAGAAACCAAATGGGTAAGTTGTACAAGGTTTTAATGGGTTTCAAGATTAAAATCACGACCAAGATGTTATACCTTAAAAGGGTTTTCATTTTCACTATCTCCTGTATCACGGTCAGTCTCTGAATCTGTATCGGTAGGTTTTTCCCTCTTTGCCCGAGATACATGTTGGCCATTATTCAAAGGATCTGAAGACAGACCTTCTTTGGCAAGTAACTGCTCAAGTTCTTCTATGAGAATAGCCTCACGTTTCTCTTCAGGAGCCTTGTTGACTTTCCTGTAAATGTAAGGAGGAACTCTGCCAAGAAAAAAATAATGAAGTCCCTGTAGTATGAATAAACAGTGAACTTCTTAAAGATGTTATCAAGTTTGATAGGTACCTCATCCTACAAGATTTAAAGACTGATTTGAGATGCATAACACGCGTTCCGTAAACAGTAATTGCAGTCTCCTTTGTCTGCTGTTGAACAACATAAATGTAGAAACCAAATGGGTAAGTTGTACAAGGTTTTAATGGGTTTCAAGATTAAAATCACGACCAAGATGGTATACCTTAAACGGGTTTTCATTTTCACTATCTCCTGTTTCACGGTCAGTCTCTGAATCTGTATCGGTAGGTTTTTCCCTCTTTGTCCGAGATACATGTTGGCCATTATTCAAAGGATCTGAAGACAGACCTTCTTTGGCAAGTAACTGCTCAAGTTCTTCTATCAGAATAGCCTCACGTTTCTCTTCAGGAGCCTTGTTGACTTTCCTGTAAATGTAAGGAGGAACTCTGCCAAGAAAAAAATAATGAAGTCCCTGTAGTATGAATAAACAGTGAACTTCTTAAAAATGTTATCAAGTTTGATAGGTACCTCATCCTACAAGATTTAAAGACTGATTTGAGATGCATAACACGCGTTCCGTAAACAGTAATTGCAGTCTCCTTTGTCTGCTGTTGAACAACATAAATGTAGAAACCAAATGGGTAAGTTGTACAAGGTTTTAATGGGTTTCGAGATTAAAATCACAACCAAGATGTTATACCTTAGAAGGGTTTTCATTTTCACTATCTCCTGTATCACTGTCAGTCTCTGAATCTGTTTCTTGATGTTTTGCCCTCTTTGTCCGAGCTACATGTTTGCCATTATTCAAAGGATCTGAAGACAGCCCTTCTTTGGCAAGTAACTGCTCAAGTTCTTCTATTAGAATAGCCTCACGTTTCTCTTCAGGAGCCTTGTTGACTATCCTGTAAATGTAAGGAGGAACTCTGCCAAGAAAAAAATAATGAAGTCCCTGTAGTATGAATAAACACTGAACTTCTTAAAGATGGTACCAAGTTTGATAGGCACCTCATCCTACAAGATTTGAAGACTGATTTGAGATGCATAACACGCGTTCCGTAAACAGTAGTTGCAGTCTCCTTTGTGTGCTGTTGAACATTATCAATGCAGAAACCAAATTGGTAATTTGTACAAGGAATCAATGGGTTTCGAGATTAAAATCACAACAAAGATGTTTTACCTTAAAAGGGATTTCACTATCTCCTGCATCACTGTCATTCACTATCATTTTTCTTTTTCGGCCCCTTGTCTTCTTTACAGCTACTTCTTCCTTAGATTGTATGCTCTCGACGTATTTCTGTAATTCTTTCCCAGCCGACTCAGTCTGACTTTTAGTAACATCAGCAATTTCTAATACCTAATAAGCCAAACAACAACAATATAAAGACCTGTCTCTAGTATACCCAAAATGTTACATAAGCAAATCAAAATACTCACTTCATCCAATAATTTGTTGATGAAGTTCTTGAAGGGATCAAGAGTCAGCTTCTCCAATTGGAGATCTTCCTCTAAAAGCCGTCGAAGAGAACCCATCGTAGTTGTCCTGAACAATAAAACAACCCATTACCAAACAGAAAAGTACATCTTGATAAGCCATGAAAGAGGAAATTTTTAACCTAAATTCATTAACCTACTCCGCATTATCCTTGATATACGACGATCTTTCTCTGAGGGCTCTCCGTATCTCACTATGCATGAGATCTTTACTTCCCTTTACAGTCATATCTTTAGCAGCTACCTTCTCGGATCTCTTCTCTTCTGTCCCAAGGGCCATCTCACCAGCACATTCCATATCCTCCTCATAACACCCAGTGTCATCCCTTACATCGTTCCTTTCTCCCTGCTCCTCAGTCCGGCTCCTCTCAGGTTCTTGAGGATTTTCCAAAGCCTCATCATTATCAGCGTCTTCTAAGCACTGCCATCAAAGAAACACACATTAGTATATCTAAGGTGACACTAACCAAATAGTTATTACCAAGATAAACATACCTGAACCAAATTCATTTTTACAAATGTCCTATGATCTTCCAGAGAATGTTTCTTCAAGCCCATGGTTTCCTCTAACATCCTTCGTATACTCACGAATGTAAAAGAGCTACAAAAATCAAAAACCCACAAATCATTCCACAATTCCAACATCATCCTCTCAAACACAACAAACGAAATCAAACAACCCTAATCCAAACACGAAATGTATATCACCAATACCACCAACAACAATCAAACGTATTCAATCACACACAGAGAATTCACAAACTAGAGAAGTGAGAGGAAGAGATTTATACTCTGCTGTGTCTCTTAGGTAAGCTACCCGAGAACGGATAGCTTTCAGAATCCGGTACTCGATCGCCGTCGTAGCATCGCCGTCGTTCGAGTTACTGTTACCGGAATTGAGATTCACCTCCGCCGTCTCCATAGCGGCAGAGTTGCCAGACATTTTCTCACTAATTTTTTTTTTTTTTTTTTTTTGAAAGAAATCAACTTCTCACTACTTAAACGGCTAAGCAAAGAGTAAAAAAATGAAAGTGAGGAATTTATATTAAAAAAAAAAAGTTAAAAACCCTGGAAAAACAAAAACGGCAAGAAGTTTGTTTTTTTTATATGAAACGACAAGAAGTTGTTATCTGTTTATTGTAAAACGACAAACACTTTATAATGATACTACTTGTACTAGTGATAATTGTACTAATGGTAATAGTACTATGCAGTAAAACTAAATGAAGTACATATGTGATTTAATTAAATAAAGAGATACGTTGATTTCTGGAAAGTTTATTTTTCTCTTTATTTTACTAGTGTAATTTAGTTCAAAGACAAATATCTATCTTCGTGTATAAGAGGTGGCTAATATATTTTTTTTTGCTAAATTTTTATACCTACATTTTTATAATTTGTAAATAAAGAATTCAAAGCGGAATTTATTTACGTTAGATTTTTATTCAAAAATAAATCTTAACTTCAAGAAAAATAATGTACTCTTATTGTTAGAAAAAAAATTTATATGAGAAATCTGAAGTCCTTATATTTTTTGGGCAAACATCACTCTAAACGAAAGTGAGAAATATCTTCGGTTATATAAAATTTTGACGTGGATAAAAAAAATTGAGAAATTGTGGAATTTGTTAGTTTTATTTAGGTTTATAATAATTTACTTTTCCGGGTCAAGATTGTTGTCTCATAGGGTTTTATGAACTCGTTAGCTTAGTTTCATGAGATTTCAGGTTTAGTTAACTGGAATTTGCATGCTTTTTCTGTTTTATCTATTTTTGTACTTTGTCTTTACATTTTAAATAATACTCAGTGTTAAAAAAACTAAATGAAGTACGTATGTGATTAATTAAATAAAGAGACACTTTGGTTTTTTTAAATGAAGAGATATTTTGGTTTCTCGCAAGTTTCTTTTACTATAATTTAGTTCAAAGAAAAATATTATGAGTAAAAGATGGCTATTTTTGTTTTGCAGAATTTATTTACGTACAATTTTATAGTTATGTAAATAAAGAATCTATAGCGGAATTTAGTTTACGTGCATTTTATTTGTTGCGATTATTTATTTAGTTATTTAATAACGAATTTATAGCAGAATCTATGTAACTAAGCATTTAGATTTTTATACAAAAATAAAGCTTAATTTTTTAAAAAAATAATGTAATTTTATTATTAGAGGAAAAACTATATGAAAAATCTGAATCCCTAATATTTTCTTAGGCAAACATTAATGTAAACAAAAGTAAGAAATATCCCCGATTGCTATAAATCCTTTGCGTGGATAAAGAATTGAAGAATTGTGGCATTTTGTTAGTTTTGTTTAGGTTTATATTTATTTTACTTCCCCTTTTGAGGTTGTTGTCTCAAGGGATCTTATGAACTCGCTGGCTTTGTTTCCTGAGTTTTTAGGTTTCATTAACTGAAATTTGCATGCTTTGTTTTCGGTTTATCAGGCGTTTGTACTCTATAATTGCAGTTTTAAATAAGAGTAATTGCAAAGTTTGGACCCAGAAGATATAAAAATTAAATGACACAACATGATAATATTGAATTTTTATTGTACATATAATTTTTACATTTCTACCCCTATCATCATCTGACAAATATTCACCGACGATTTGAAAATAAAAACATAAAAAATTGTTACCTGATAACTCAAGTCTTATCTGATAGGATTGGAAGATTCATGAAGATCGAACAGAAATAGATAATTTAGTGATTAGTTCGTTAAAAATGTTATAAAAATAAAATAATAGTTACTATATTAACTCATCTCAATTTGGTATTGGTGTCCAAATTGAAGTGTCTTTTTGGGAGTCTCCGAAGTGGTAGAACGGGATGGTGATACATAGTAAAATAGTTAACACATAACTAAGTTAGCAGGATAATGATAACATTATTTGATAATAACGATTTGGTTGTTAGCGGATACCAAGTTTTACCTGAAGTACCGATACTAGAAAGACGTATGAGGAATTTATATGATTCTAAGAGAGATAAATCAAAAGTTAATATGTTAAAAATATTATAAAATATTATAAAATAAAACAAAAGTTATTCTGCTAACTTAGCTCAATAAAAGAGTTGAACCGTTGGTTAGAATGCAATGTTACTAAAACATAACCATAATTATTCAGATACAACAATTTGATCATGAACAATATTACTATCCGTTTTGTGTTATTTCTTTTATCATATATCATCACTCCCTTCTTACTTAGTTATGTGTTAACATCTATGTTACCGCGTTAAAATTGTGTTATCCTCAATGCACAAAAATGGAGCATTAAATGTTCTTGCTTTTACGACACAATCCATAGTACTGTATGGTCAATTTTGTCTAATGCAGCTTATTAAAAGAGAGAACTAATTTACAATTTATTATGACTACAAATTGAATTTATTATGACTACAAATTGAATTTTTTCTTCTACATAGTATTTACATTAATAACACCCTTTTAATAATAGTCAAAACCTTGGTGATACAAAAAAAAAAAAACTAAAATAGTGACCTGAAACATAACCAGAAACGGCAAGCAGTCTATAAAATTATGAGACATATGAAATACGTAGAAGAACAGGGTCTATTTTGCAATAAAACTAAAGAAGTATTGTATGTGAATATTATATAAGCTTGCTTGTCGTTTTTAAACACGCAAACGACAAGTAGTTCCTTTGTAAATCCGAAAAAAAATCAGATTATCATCATATCCAAAAAAAATCGAGAAGGAGACGGCGAAGAAGAAGAAGAAGATCAAAATCAAATCAAACCATGACGAGCCACCACGCGATCGAAGTGACGAAGACGGTGCTAGAAGTAGCAGACGTAGCGTGGACCGCCGTTGAAACCTACCATCACCACCACCACCACCACCATGACGAGAATCATGAATCAACGGATTCGATCGCCGATCCACGAGATCGTGAATTAGAAGCTCTTCGTCAAGAGAATCGTCGTCTCAGGACCTTACTTGAAGCGAATCTTAAGCTCTTTGAGTCTCTCGCTGAATCTGCTTCGTTATCTCATGATTGCCCTAACGATGTAAGCATATAAACAAAATTCCAATTTCAATTTTTGTTGACGAATTTGTTGAAATTTTGGAACTCAGCTCTATGCTAGGATTGTATCAATGGTTACTTCAAGAGATTTCTTGGGTAGATTAGAGAATCTAAGACAAGCTTTAGCTAATGGAACTCAGAATCAGTTTCCATTTAAGGAACCAACAGGTGTGTTTTATCGAATTTTCTCGTAAAGTTCGATTTGAGAGTTTAGTTTACAGACGAATTGTGTTTAATGGGTTTATTTGTTTTCAGAAGATGATGTAAAGACTGTTGAAGTTCTAATAGAGATGGATCATCAAGAGCCAAGTTGGTGGGTTTTGGTTAGTGATGATATGGTTCCTGGTAATGTCGAGGAACAAAGCGCGATTGATAATGAACATTACGTTGTTGTGAATGAAGAGCATGTGGTTGATGCTGTTGCTCATTTCTTGGCTAAATGCATTATGTCGAATCCCAAAGCTAAGGTATTGTATTCGTATCTTTAGTTTATTTTAAGTATGCAAATTTGGATTTTTTACTACTTCGAATCTCATACCTTACTTGGCTACTGCTTTCAAATTGCAGAATCTCAAACCTGAAGAGCTTCAGAAGCGTAAGTTTTTACACAGCATGATATCTCTTTCAGTTTTTTAGTGTTGATTGGTAACCCCGAGTATGCTGCTTAAGTTGTTAGTAATCACAAAAGTGGGAAGAATTAGCGGTATATTTGGGGTTACTATTCGCTTTATGTCACCAATCTTACCGGTAATTTCTAGTTTGTTCACTTGGCTTCTCGACTGGCTTGGTTTTGCAGTTCTGCTCCAAGAAGTAACTACTCTGAGCAAGGTAGGGAAAGTAGTGGATATATGGCATGCTGGGAAAATGTTCTACACACTGTCTACTTGGGGACTTGCTTTTGGAGGGTATGTAGTTTGATTTCTGCTAATGATCTTGAGATCTTGAAACACTCAATTTTTGATCGAGCTAAGTAAGTAACATCGTTGGTATTTGCTTTTCAGGTTATACCAAGCTCGTGGTGCGCTGAAGATAGCTGCTAAGGGTGTTCATGCAACCAGCAAGGTCGTTCTTAGAGCTCTCTGAAAGTTATAAGAGGTCTAATCGCATTCTATCTTTGGGTTTGTCTTTCTCTGCGACTCTTTTCTAATTAAGTATTGCTTGTGTAAATGGTGTAATTTGTAAATAGGGTTTGATCAATGTTGTATTCTATATTGACTTCAAAATTCTAAAAAATTGTTCGTTGATTCTCATTAATAAACTTAGACAAATGTGTGAAATTGTGAATATTGAACAAAGTTTGCAGTTACTCTACTTACTAAAGACAGAAAACAGAACTGAAAAATCGAAAAGTATTTGGAGTGGAACCAAATCAGTGAAGAGTTTTATGGTTTGGTTAATTCAGAAAAGAAGTTTACCTTTAAAATTACGATCTTATGTTATGTGCAAGTATATATAGAAACAAAGCCTCATCGTAAGTTAAATGCTTTTCTTGATGATACTCCAAATAGCCATGGAGACTGATCTTTGGTAAGAAGCATTCTATTTCATCTTTGGTAACTATTAAAGATTTGAATGCTTACAGCGGGTTGAGGGAACAAAACCGTCTAACTGAACCGCTTTTTATTTACCATTCACTAGTTATATCTGTAGTGGTGCAGATTCCAAAATAACAAATTACATACTATTTCTACATACAAATGGAGTTGGTCACTTGCTCTGTAGCGGTTTGTTATATGCCCTAAAAATAGAATGGATTAAACTGGTGACGGTTTTGTCTATCTCAACTGTTATAACCATTCGAATCCTTAGCACATATGATTGATTGAAACAGAAAATAAGAGATAACTATTAAAATCTTTATGATTGATTGAAACCAGTTTACTTATGTCGAGTAAATAAGAGATAACTCTTAGAGTCACTAATTATGTGAGTAAATAAGAGATAACTCATAGACTCACTGATTGATTGAAACCAGTTTAGTTATGTCCAGTAATTAAGAGATAACTATTAGAGTCTCGATTGAAACTAGTTTAGTTATGCCGATTAATTAAGATTTAAGAGTTTAGTTTTATGAATGTTAGAACAGTGCTGCGTAACTCAAATCACAAACATTTTTTATTCATTTCAATCTTCTTCTTGGATGAGTATGTGATGCACTAAACTAATAGTAACGAATCTTATATGTTCGTAATCAAAGGAACAGTATCTAGTAGCTATATAGTAGTTACGACTTTGGTTCAATTGTTATAGAAATACAAGCATCTACGTTAACATCAAATCAATCGCTATATCTATGAATAAAAAACACAGCACTAACAAACAAAATTATATTCGCCAGAAACACACTTGCACGAAGAGAAGATTTTAAGACAGAGCTGAAAAGGAGATTCGTATCAACCAATATTTTCAACAATAAAAAAACAATCTCATTATTACTCTTTTTTTTATTCTCAACCAAACATCAATTTTTTTTTATAAAGAAAAGAAGACGTATTGGTTGAAAGAAAAACAAAAGAGTACTTTGTTTTTTTTTTTCCTCAAATCAATTATATTGATATCAAAAACTATTTACAAAATACATAAATATTCCAATACAACCGTTATACGCAAATACAGGAAATTGATACAATTTCGATGAAAGATTATATATGTTGCCTGTAAAACTAAATAAAAGAGTACTTTATTATAAAAGGTAATTTGTTGTAAAACATAAATAGAATTAAGGGTATATTATTTTCTTAATTTTTTATAAGTCCAATGATTAGGGATTTGGATGTGCCCTCTTCTTTTAGTTTTAAATGGAATCAATTACAGATTTGCCATTTTTTGTGATGGCATTTGTGGATTTGCTATTTTTGCTAAAATTTTATAGATTTGCCATTTTCAGATTAGAAAAATGTGATTTTACTCGTTATGTTTGAGTTTACTCGGTTCTAATTGTCTTTAAGATTTAGTATTTACTATAAAGTACGTCTTTCAGCAAAAAAAAACATTCTGTTAAAAAATTGTAAATCCATAAGACTTTAGAAAAAATGACACATTCATAAAATTTGCCCTAAAAATAGCATTTTCCGTAAGTATCCCATTTAAAATAAAAGTATTATTATTATTTTTTTCAAAGAAGGAAATTTTTAAAAAATTATATCTAAACAGGATATTTTCCCAATTTATATATATATATATATATACATTTTGTATAAAAATCCATATACAATCAGAAAAGAATTACAGAAATTGTGTCTAGAAAAGGATAAGAAAATACTTAAAATAAAAAAATAAAAACAAAAACAAAGAAATGAGTGACAATGATGAGAGTTATAGATTCCGAGCATCACGGGTCGAAGTAAAAAGGCTGACACATAAAAAGAAAGAGTAAGTATCATTTTTACAAGACCCTTAATTCGTTTCTATTCTCACACTCTCTGCCAAACCTCACTTTTTTACTAGCTCTCTCCTATATGGTGTTAGAACACAACTACACATCTCTTATGTGATTACCACAAGAATCAAAACATGCTTAACACAAAAACGGATATAACATACTTCAAGAAAAATGTTCTTTCATAAATGTGATTAACATTAGTAATAGTGAAGGAGGGATTTAATAACGAAATCACCTTCTTCTTAACCCGATCAAAAAATTTACCAGATTCAACAATTCCGTAGTTACTATTTGCGTAAAATTAAATTCAGCTGATTTCATATACACGATATTCAATACGTACGTTCATTTCGGATAAAAATTTAGATAATAACGAATATATAACTCGAGTTAAAATTTTATTTAGCAAAAATACACATAACGCTCATTTTAGATGTAAATCGGTATATGAATAATTTAGATAGAACAATAGTCGAATTCATGTTGTATATTCTAGATAACTTTAATATAATTTAAAATAAATGTTAATAACATAGAAAACCCAATTCATAGCTATGTTAAACTATTATATAAAGTAACATAAATTTAGTAATGTTCATACTCATATTTTTACTGATTAAATTACTAGAGGAAAATAAGAAGAGATAGGATTTTATTTTAACGTAAATAGTTAGTGGCACAATTCACTAGGACCTTGCAAGTTAACATCATCGACGATAATTTATAGTATATACTAATTAATACTTCAGAGATAGAAAACGTACAAGCTGCACAAATAATTATTGACGTTGACGAACACCAAATAAATTTTATAGCCTCTCCTATCTCTCTCTATAGTCTTATACTTTTACAGGTTTAATAGAGACTACTTCATTTATTTTTCATAACGATGTTCTCCACATACATCCAAAACAATTTAATCTTTGCTTTACTTTAGTTCTTTAATCTAAGCACATAAATAACTAACATGATTGTTGAATTTTATATGAGTACCCGGTAATTTTCAAGTAATTTCACGGATTTTTGAGTAAATACACTAATCTTTGAGTAACTATTTGGGTTTTCAGGTAAACATTTGGATTTATGAAATTTTTTTGGGTATTCGAGTAAATAACTCAAATACTCTAGATCTAAATGATTAGTACGTATTAAAGTATCTTTGGATTCAGGTCGGATTTGATTTTTGGATTTTTGTATAGAGAAATTTAAAACCTAATTATATAAATCTAAAATTTTGAGTTCAGATTCAAATCGGTTATGGTTCAAGTTTTCGAGTCTGATTTTTTTTTTGCGCAAACGTAATCTTAAAAGTTTTGTAAATCATCATTGTAATTAAAATGTGGCTTTGATACACATGTTGACATAACGGTCTTAGATTACCATGTTGCATTGGCTTAGCCGTAGCAAAATTATTTGTGTTCGAGTAAAATGTGGTTATAAAGTTGATCACAAGTTCATACATATAATGCAGTATTCTTTAATGTAGTAAGTAGAAGAACAAAAACAATTTTAACTTCAAAGGTGAATATGAATTAACTTTTTTCACTGGAAATTAATTTTCTACAGTTGAGTAGTTGCTATTTAGTAATTATTGGTTCCATCTGTTTCAAATCGATAAAAATTCTATACATATTTTAAAAATTCAAGACATTTTTAACAACTACAAGTATCATTCCTAAATTATCTTTTGACTTTATCAATTCACTAAAATAATCAGAGGGAATAAAACTAGTTAGTCTTAATTGTGTAGTGATTTTACATGTTAAACAGATACAAGTATATTATATGTAATATCATAATCATTTTTTACAATTAGATATTAAAACAAAATTTTGTGTGGTAAGAAGTTGTGTCAGGATAAAATGATTCTTTACTTGTTTTGAGTCTGACAAGTGAATGAAGGAAGATGCAGAAGCAAACAACTCTCTAATTTATACACACACCCAATAAAAAATCCTATTTTACTCTTTCACCAGTTTCCAAATCTGTATAATTGATAATTATTTTCCTATTCCTTTCACTTCATAGTTCCTAGGGGGAATTTCAAATATACCTCTTTTCCAATACCACTTTTTAAAAATACCCCTATTTCTATATTTATCAAAAAGTCACTATAAAATTTGAAATTTATCAAAAACATATGTGTAAACTTATATTTATAAACACAAATTATCTTTATATGTGTGTAAATTTATATATATATTTCATAAATACCGTATAAATACATTTTAAAAACCATTTAAAAACCTTATAAAAACTGTGTAAACCTTTTAAAAACCTTATAAAAACATTATAAATGCCGTTTAGAACCTTTTAAAACCTTATAAATATTTGGATTTAGTCTTGTAGTAGTAATGATGACCTCGATGTACCTTATTAACCATATAAAAGTTTATAATTTTTCATATTTGAAAAGGGGTATTTTTGAAAATGAATAGAAAATAGGCGTATTTTTAAAAAAGGGTAAATCAAAAGGGGTATTTCTCATAAATTCTCTAGTTCCTATACATTATTTTACTTTCAATAGTGTCACACAACTCAGAGGGGTCAAATCTCAATTATTTAACTCTATAAGTCTTGTTTAATGTTTTAGTGAAGAGACTTGACTAAATCTTTTTGTTATTGTTATGAAGTAATTTAGAAGAAACACACATGGGTTTAGTAGTACTTAGTATCATTATGCGTGTTTGAATTGGAATTATTATTTGACCATCTCATCGGTCAAGACTATATTATATAATTCGAGTACCTTTGATGTTGTCCTATTTTACATATAAAAGTATGCATATCTTAATTGTGTTTACACTTAAATAATTCTCTTTTTTATTTCATGGCTTGTTCGAATCATTAGAAAATAGAAGTTGATTAAAAACATGATATGATGTTTATGTTTTTCCAATAATTTCAATAAGAATATTTTATAATTTACCTCAAAAGAAAAGAAAAATATATCTAAATTATGGATAAATTAAATTAATCCATCAACAATTTAGGCTGTTCTATTGTTGAAGCAAACAATAATCCCGGCATATCGTATATAAAAACGATCTATAGCTGTTTGGCGACAAAATTCTTATATATTTTTATCCGCATTATTATGAATAGTAAAAGCTAATTCACATACGAATTTGTTAGCGCGACCGGCGTAACCATTCAAAACCTTACAAAAACATTGGAGATCATTGTTTGTTGCACTAAATTGAGGTCATGAAATGTATAATAAACATAAGCCCTTTGGTCTTATTGTGTAGTGTGATTGTCTTGTTTAAACACTTGGAAAATTTTGAGGGAAGAAAACAAAAAACAAGAAGCAAAAAAGTCCAAAGGAAAAATACAAGTGTGGGTCGATGATATGGGAGAAGAGGACAAAGGAAGATATGAAAGCAAAATGTGAATGAGGTCATCTGACACACTTAGATGAAACCCATAAATTTACGTACGTATAAAGTAAACCAATATATACGTTTAATAGGTAAAGAGATAAGATCCTTTTTTTTTTCTCATTTTCTGGACCACCTCTAGCTATATTATGTTACTATTTGATATGACTTTGGTGTATTGATGTATGATTTGATATGTGATTATACGTTGCATTTCTATTGCATGAACAGCTCTCGTGTTGTTTCACCTTTGTGAGTGGGCATTTAGACAAATCTACCGGTCAACAACACTTAAACAATGTATGAGTTGGAAAAAATGGGATTTACGAGTTCGTGTGATACTAGTATTATAAAGAAAATTAAGTGATTTCAAAGTGTAGTGTGTTTTCTCTAAACTCCAATTTCAAAACTCAAAACAAGTGATAGGAAATTGTTCTTTAATTATCTATAAAATCGCCGGCTCGACGAAACCATATAACATATAACATGTTCTAGTCTCGGAGCTGAGAAGATATATGAGATTCGGTTCAGAACTTCTTAGTTATTAAAAAAAAAGTTATATAATTGGGATTTTATCTTTAAAATGTTTGGAGGCTGAATTTTATTTAGCGAATCCGATTATTAAAATCCGATTAGGATATTTAGATTGTTTGTTTTTATGATTAATTTTGGTTTTATAAAAGTCATTTTTGGTTATTTTGGTTAATTTCGATTAGCTTCGGGTAGTTCGGTTTTGTTTCGTGCGGTTATTAACAAAAAAAACAGCTTACTTTTTTTGGTATGATCATTATTTTTGAAAATACAGTTGATTAACCATAAACCGAACCAAACTAACCAAAATTCTTGCTTAGTGAAACTAAATTTCAAATATTACCGATCGATTAATGACCTATAATCAAAACCAAACTGAACAACAAAATTTGTTTTGGTTTGGTTTGGTTATTAATCACAGTTCTATAAATTAGTATGTAAAACATCGTGAGTTACATATGATCTTCCTCACCGACACAATGATTGTTATCTTTTTCCTATTTGATGTGAAGATAGTCTTATGAGTTTTCAACTAAACAAGAATAAGGATAATTAATCCAATTGTAGAATATTACGATATAACTTTTAAAGAACATTATATCTAAACATGCATCCTAGAAAAAGTGTAACTAGGACACATGAAGTCCATTAGAGAAGCTGCCAACCAAACGAAACCATAAAAGATATTATGGTGACCACCAGTCTCCTTTGTATTGAACAAGACTATGCCTTTTTCGATATCCTCCAACACGGATTTTTCTTTTCCTAAATAGAATTTGATTTGTTTTAAAAGAAATTAAGGACTAGTATCACCATATCAAAGGACCTGTTGAGAACTTTTGAGGGTAGAGCCAGTGAGAAATGACTAGTTATATTATATATTTTAAGCTTGTCCATTGTTGGTAGATGAAATTGAGATTGGTTAGTGATTAGTCCTTGCCTCTTTTGGTTGTTGTAACCTTGTCTATGACAATTAATTTTTTACTTATCTGTTTTTTTTATCGTCGAAATATATATTTTTTACCAATTTCCGACGATTAGGTAACATTCGCGGAAATTAATTGGAAACGATAGTTGGAATCCAGTATTTTTTAGCGCCTGCTTAGCGACTAATGTTTTTCCTATATAATATAATCACTGTTTATCGACTACATTTCCGTCTATTATTTTTAGTCGATATTTAACGATTCATGGACGACTACTCGTAAATCAGTAGTAAACTAGTGACAAATTAGTCGCTTTATTTAGGGACTAAATATATAGTTGCTATTAGTCCCTAAATGCTTATTTTCTTGTAGTATACTTCTAGTAATATATAATTATGTTTATAAGCTATAACATCAAAAGATATAATCTATCAACTCTTATGTAATTGTATTGAAAGTCTTTAGTGAAATTGTGTATATGTCTCATCGAGACTTTCCCTAAGTAAAATAGCGAAACTTGTCAAAGTCTTATAATGTGTAATAATTGCTTCCTATTCCTCCAGCTCTTATCTAATTTAGTCGTATTCATACATGCAAAAGAAATTAACAAAGCTGAGATCAATAACCAAACCGTTACGGTCGTCATAACAACATTACTTATTACAAAATTGACTAAAACATGAAAAACCTATTAAATAAGTTTGGCCGACCATTTAATAAGAGTGACATTGCCAAAATGGTGAATCAAAGAAGTAATTGACATAACAATTCTAAATGACAAAACCTATTTCTCTAGTCTCTAACTAATAATTTCAATAGACGATTTAATAATTGTAAAAATTCCTAAACCAAACTAAATTTTTTACATATATATATATAACAAAAGGAAAGAAAATAAAATACTATTGTTGCCTTGTTGGTTGCTTATAAAGTTCTAGCAATTAAATAACACACTTTATTGTGAGCACATGATTCACCCTTAATGCCCTGTCGCTCACTCTTTATTATCAAAACCAAAATTTACATCTCACTCTCTCTCTCTCTTTCACATTTTCGAGTTTTACATCAAAGCTTCTTCTCTCTCTAGTCTCCTACTACCTACTTCTTCACTCTCTCTCTCTCTCTCTCATCATTTTCACTACCATAAAAGCTTCAACATCTCATCACTCTACTCTCCTCCAAGAAAATGCAATTCTCAAGAAACTCAATCCTTAGGCAACTAAGCAGAAAAGAAGGTTGGAGGTCGGCTTCAAGAAGGTGGACATCCGGAGATAGCTCAACAGCCTTCAACGAGGACACAAGCGGTGGTGATTGTGGTGGTTACTCATCAATGGAGGGTCTTTATGGGGTTTACTCTGGTGGAGACACGGCTGCAAGAACTAAGAGAGTGATGGTTGTGGTTGATGAGACTTCAAGGTCTAAGCATGCTATGATGTGGGCTTTAACTCATTTGACTAATAAAGGAGATTTGATGACTCTTCTTCATGTTGTCTCTCCTCATGATGAAGCTACTCCTTCTTTGGCTCAGTCTCTTGGTTCTCTTTGCAAAGCTTGTAAACCTGAGGTACTTAGCTAATTAACCTTACTAGTATTAACTTTAAACCAAAAAAATATATTAAGCTTATAACTATCATTATTATTATTTTCATAAAGAGATGGCTTATTAAGGTTTCTAATTAAGCTTCCATATTTTCTAGTTTTTTTTTTTGGGTTCCAAAGTATGAAATAGTATTTGATTAAAAACATTAGAAAATAGTTTTCAATTAAGCTTATATTTTGCTATTTGTATGTTTGGATTTGGGAAACTACTACTTTAACAAAAAAAATATATGTTTTTTATACTATTAGTTAGAGGAGTAATAATAATACATATTTGGGTTTTAGTTTTGCATTTGTGTTAAGTTTGGTAAATCGTTAAGTTATTAATATACTTAACAAGCTTATGGGTTTATTAAGGTACTAATTATACACATTTGCTATTTTAATGTCTGGATTTTCAAAAACTTAGAGAAGTAGTAATCCATATTTTGGTTTTAAGCATTTTGTTTTTGTGTTTTGTTAAATCTTGAGTTGTTGTGTTAAGGGCACTTGAGTATTGGAGCAATGCATGCGTGAGAGAATCTGTCTCTGTGATGGTCATAGTGACTGATGGCTCCTAACTTTGTTTTTTTTCTTTGTAAATTATTTTGGATTTAGAAAATACACTTTCATCATTATTCATTTCTGTAAAGTATAGCTTTTTCAGCTAGAAATGCAGCTTTATTCTTAGTTTAGATCTAATGTTTTTTAAAATAACTCGTTATTAGATCTAAAGTATATATAGTTGGTAACATAACTTTTTAGTTACTTAAAAAGTGTCCCATTTAAGATTTACTTAATTAGCTTTTTAAACAACTAACATAGAACATGTAATCAGGTTGAGTTTATTTTAAGATTTGATAATTCCTAAGCAAATTGTTGAGATTTTTTTTTTATAATATTATACTTCACCATTACTTGAAAATTGAGAGTTTTAATATTACTCATAGAAAAGTTAAGAAATGATACACTAATCTACTTTTATGGTATCAAGAATTCAAAAAGATTAAGTATAATTATGTAATTGTGTTTTGATAAAAGGTGGATGTGGAAGCATTAGTGATTCAAGGACCAAAGCTAGCAACAGTGTTAAGCCAAGTGAAGAAGCTTGAAGTCTCTGTTCTTGTGTTGGGTCAGAAACAATCTGCACCACTCATATCTTGGTGAGTCATCTCAACCGTCCATATCTCTCTTTCTCTCGTTTCAATAATTACTTACACAATTTTTGTTGTTGTTTCTGAATGTGTGTAGCTTATGTGGACCTAGTAGATCAGAAGAGCTCGTGAATCGTTGCATCAACGGTGCAGATTGTTTAACGATTGGTGTGAGGAAACAATGCAAAGGTGTTGGTGGGTACTTGATCAACACAAGATGGCAGAAAAATTTCTGGCTCTTAGCCTAATTTTAATCACAAAGTTCTAATTAGATATTAAGAAGATTTGTGTGTTTATTGTAGTTTAATTTAAATAAACTTTGTTATGTAGTAATCTCTTCTTTGTTGTCTTTATGTTGTTAACATAACTTTTGTCTTTATATGTCTTGTAAGAAACTAAAGTTGTATCTTTGTACCTCACCCACTAGGCCATTTACATTGGTTCCACCGTGTTGACATTAGTCTCCAAATTTCTTGTCCCATATAGATTCAATTTGGAACAAGTTTCAAATCTTGTTTGGGAACAGAGTTGTTCTTGTTTCTACCATTTGGAAGTTTATATGTCAATGTAGATATTGTACTAAAGTTTTGAACTGGTCATTTTCTTATGTATATTTTTTTCACCAACCAAAACCTAACCAATCGAACAGTACAGACCCAAATGCCCAAACATTATTTTTTCATTTTTTAAATATGTATTTATCCAAAAGATAGAAATAAGAAAAGCACAATTGTGAGTGTAGCATAATAAGAACCCATACTAGTTGTGGGCACTTGAACAGAATAGAAACTTACGGCAAAAAAAAATTGGAAGAGATACTTAAGTGTTTTTTGTAAGTGGTGACCAAAAAAAAAAGAGCTTGTTTTAAATTAATTATACAAAAGTCGATATATCACATTTTTTTGGTTGATTAACATAGAATAGAACTGAAAGTTATTAGTCATATATTATAAATTATATTAATATAAAAAAACTGAAATTTCGAAAATATATAATAAAAGGTTAATTTTGTAATTTTGTTTTTAATCGCATTTAAATATCCATTCATCATTCTAACTAATCGCATCGCTCTCTAATTACATCGTTCTTACACTCAAATCGTAATCGCATCCAAATCGGATTGTCATTCGGAGCTATAAATTCATAATTGTAGACAAAACGAAAAATATTTCCTCCTTCTTCAGTGCTCTATCCTTCAAAAGTTAAGAACCCAAAAATATGCTAGGAAATCGTTTTCCAACCGATTGTCCAAAAGAAAAACATCGAGATAGCAAAGGCAGCCGCATTTGACAACAAATGTGGCATGTCAGATATAGCAGCCTTTGCCATCATGCTATTCTCTTTGGAGAAGATGGTTGAGAAGTGATTCCTAAAGATGGAAGTTTTGGACACTTGTTTTTTTCTGTCCAATTGATATGGTTGTTCACATAGTATGAAACTAACTATAAGACTCAACGTGACCAATGAGATAGGTGGATTCCTTATGTTTTGTTGTTACTGTATTTGGTCAATACAATCATGGTTGTAGCCATACCCATGGGATAATGGTACACACAAACCCATCATCAAGGTCAAAGTCATGATGATACTCTCTTTGTATTTGTTTTTGTTTTCTGCTGCCACAAATGTGGCAAGGACACATTTATTTTGATACAAACTTGATTATAGATTAAACTAGTCCAAGTATAAGCTAGTGTACTACAAAATGTTAATTCATTTCATTTTCACAAAATTTTGTATCGAATTATTGTTTTCCCATCAGTATATTAGACAGATTTGATTTCAAAAACAATGTGACAAGACAAGTATGAGTGACAATTATTGTTGTATATCTAAACCAATATATCTCTGCTAGAATCATTGCAGAATCAGCAGGGAGGTTCCACCCTTCTGGTGTGAGCTTGTTGTCGCGCTCGTCTTACTTTCAAGTCGTCGATATGATTCTGGTAAACATAAGAAGCGAAGCCCCAAAGAGCGATCAGCATAGCCATAACCTTAACGCCACTCATTTTATCACGGAATACAACCAAAGCTGCAAGTGGAGTCACGGCTAAGGAGAGTGTACTAATGACGTTTGAGAAGAGCGATGTCACAAGAAATATCAATCCCACCACTCCTACAGAACACACTTGCCATGTGACCGCTGTCCAGACTAAAGTCAGTACATAAGAGGCTTGACCTTTGTGATACCCTTCCATTTCCCCGTGCAGCGTTCTCCATTCCCCGCTAGCAAACAGCCCGATGACAGAGACACAAGTAGCTACTAAAGAAGTGTATATTTGCATTTCAAGAACAACAGAAAACGTCTCCCTCTTCAGAATCTTCTCAAACGAAAACTGCATAAGCGAAAGCAACAGAGAATAAAGAGCCGATGCAGCGAGTGTACAGACAAACCCCACAATGTACTTAGACCTGGGGACACCAGCAGGAGTATCAGCATCATCATTGAGAGCTATCAAAGCAGCGGAAAACGACAGGAGAACAACAGAGTTGAGAATCAAAGCAGTGAACTTCTGAGCATTGATGAAGTAAGAGAAGACCGCGTTGAAGGCTAACTGAGTAGCACAAATGAGCGAATAAGTCGAAGCAGAGAGGTACAAAAGCCCAACAGAGTATAACATGTTGTCACCAGCAATGATCACACCAAGCAAAACATAGATCAAGACAATGTATTTGAGTGAACAAGCAGGCTCTGAAGACGACTCTGAACCACTCGTCGACCTACCAAGAAGCAAAAGCGGGATATACAGAACGGGAAAAGCAGCAGTCTGAACAAGAGTAGCCATCCACTTACTATTCCCACCTTGATCATAATAAAACCTACCAAGTAGCACTGACGCAGCTTGACCACCAATAAGAAAGAAGATGTTAACAGACACAAGAACCCACCATTGCCAACTTTTAAGCTTCAACAGTGGTATTGGTAAACCCACCACACTCTCTTCCTTCACCAAGATTGGTTCTTGATTACCTATAAAAACACAAACTTTAAACAAAGGGCTCATCCCAATTCCATAAAAAGCTCCCAACTTTAGCTTTAAAAAACCCTAACTAAAGCTTTCAAGAACTACCCATAACCTCAAAAACCCTAAAACGTAATCTAACACATAAATCACCATCTGGGTATGTCGAAAAATCAAAACTTTAATTGAGAAATTGATGTTATACCAAAGAACAGAATCAAAAGATGAAACAAAGGAAGGAGAACGAGACTGACCTGACATAGAATTGGTTTTGCAAGAGATTAAAACAGAGATTTTTTTCTATGTTCGTCTTCTTTGAGATTGATCGGTTCAGAGAAGTACACACAAATGAAGCTATTGGGATGAAGCGAGAAGCTATTATTATTGCTGAGACCCGAGAGATTCGACGCAGACTCTTTAACTTACAACTTTTTTTTTTTGCGTCTTTGACTTGTTTATTAGCCCATCATTTTCTAAACCGGAGGGGACCGGAGATTCGACCAGTGAAAGTGATCAATTTTGGCCGGTTAAGGTTTCGGTTTAGGAAATTAGAATCGGGAAATCAGGTTTAACAGGTCCAACCATTTTAGGGGAAACCGGTTTCTTAATCAGTTTTATGGTTTAGTAAAAATAAAAATTATATGAAATCATTTGAATTTTGGATTAGTTTCGGTTCAGTTTGACTTAATAAGTTAATATGATTGTTATTTATTTTTTAAACATATGTATAACCAAATTCTTGTCTATTTGGTTAAAAAAATAATAAGATTTTCGTTTGTTTTTTGGATTGTAAAATAATTAAACCAAATGGTTTAGAAATGAATTTTGGCTTGGTTCAGTTAGATACTTATTTTTAATTGCGGTTTTTTTATCCATTGCTAAGGAGCTATCTATTAAAAATCTTATGGTTTAACAAGTTCATATCAATATAATTTACAATGACATTTTATTTATTTATCCAATTATGAAATGCATAGAAAAATACATACAATATGTGAGTGATTGGTTGAGGAGAACTGTTAATTTTGTTGCTCCAACATTTACCGTAGATGTAGATATAGTTAAAGATGGGCCTAGAAATTTGTATTCAACCCCGACTTGTTGTATGATCCATAACTCAACTCGTTGATATGCCGATCTAAATCTTAATTGTAATTTTTTAAGTTTTAATATTTAATTTAAAATTATAACTAGAATCATTTCGGTCGTCTAATTTTTTGAAAATTTTAAAATTACGGTATCAAAACAACGACGTTATGTCGTATACAATGCTAAAAATTAAGCAAACCATAAGCAAAATATGACTTCGTTACAAGTTCAACTTTATTACAATCTCTACTGATGCAGTGTGTTCTGTCAGATTGTCGCCCAATCTTTTTAATATTAAATAATAAATATAAAATAAATAAAAATCAAATTAGGGGGAATTTTTATTCCCACCCATGCAAACTACATTTCTTCCATCAACGACTTCCTGATTCACATTCCTCTATAATATTCAAATGGAGATTTAGAAAAGAGACCAATGTTGGAAAATATTCCCTCTAGAAAGAATAGTATATGTACTTATAAGAGAATGAATGATAGAGATTACAGCAGTAGCTGAGGATGCATATGTATCATGAAGAGAAACATACATAAAAAAAATGATACAATGAACAAGTATGTGTCCATGTCCGAAGGAAAAAACCAAGGTATTGTGTTTAGAAATATAATGAAAAGAAGAGGAGTTAATTGATTGTGTTCAGAAATATAGAGAAAACAAAGTTAAGAAAATTGATTTGGACTAGTTCTTCATACAATTTATGTTATTTGGACTAGGACTTAATACTTCTAGTTGTCCAAATTTAAGACAAAAGACAAGTATTTTAGTTAAAATAAAACTTGTAAGAGAAATAAGACTTTTTGTTTTTAGTACAATTTTAACAAATGTGGGAGAAGACATTTTATGAGATGAGACATCTCTAAGGTTTCCAAGTAGTCATTTTCTGTAAATCAAATCTTTGTTATATTTTTCACATATGAGCATTATTCTTGTTTTCTAGATATGCACTTGTAGATTTCGAGATTTAAACTGTTTAAAATCATAAATTACCAGTACCTTAAAATTGCTCTAAAAAAAGAGTATTTAGCAACAACCAAAAGTCTCACTCAAAGTGCTAGTCAAAACACCAAATAAATTTATTTTATTATTAGTTTTTTTTTCTCTTGTAAACTATTTATTTTATTATGACTAAGTAAATAAAGGAGGAAGTACAAAATATCTTAATTTTTTTTTAAGTGACTAAGACCCCCATCGCAAACACTGAGGCTGGCCTCCGTCGCGTCTGTCACGACAAGGAGTTAGCTCATAGATGCTCCAAATACATTCGCTGCAAACTCCAAATTTACTCTTTGGATTGTCGTCTCTATCTGCTCTGAAAATATCAAACGTTGCTGTGTTGTTTGGCCACTCGAAACTGCAAGTGTACGTTGTTGTTTTACGGAGATTGACACGAAACTTGAAATCAAAACTCTCTCCCCAGTTGAGTCTTCTTACTCCTAAATCCTCCCCTTTGTTTCTACAATGCACAGTCAACACTGCATGGGAGACCAATTTGTTGATGATAACAACATGTTTAGATGAGAATGGTAAGAGTCCATTGGACGAATAGGTTTCTAATGATGCCGAAGTTTTGAGAGCAAATGTAAATAAGAAAAACACAAAAATTTGGTTTGTGAAAGAAGCCATGGTTGTGTTGTAGTTTAAGAATTTGTGAGATCGTATTTGTTTTGTTTGAGATGCAAGGATTTTATAGATGAAATTATATTTCTTGGCTTAAAGTTTTTCACGGAAAATTATCTTCTAAGATAAATGTGAGAATCTTTAGTTTGTAACGTATAATACACAATTACAAGCATACTATTATTAAATTAAAATTTAATTGATTTCTAAATCATTATTATTCTTTGCCAACAAAAATGGTAAAATCCATGGAAGTTTCATTTTTTTCCTAAAAAACTCTGCATTTATGAGATTATATTTGTTTCGTTTGAGATGCAAGGATTTATAAATGAAAACTACATTTATTGGCTTAAGTTTTTTACAGCAATCTTCTGAGATAAATGTGAGAATCTTTAGTTTGTAAACGTATAATACACTATCTCAAGCATACTAATTTCTAAATCATTATTATTCTTTGGCAACAAAAATGGTCGAATCCATGGAGTTTTCTGTTTTAAAAATTTATTTCTTCATTATGTATGTGTCTAATTATTCATTATGATCATATAATTTGATATTTATAGTAGCAAATAAGTATGGTTATCTTCAAATTGTTTTTATTAATATCAAAGTTAAATAAGAGATTTTCTCTTATTTTCAAGAAAAATCATTTATGTATAATATTTTCTATTAAAACTACCAAAATTAGTTGGGTTTATGAGTTGACACAACAAAAGATTTTGGTTAAGCTCGTACTTTTACTTTAGAACCAACACTTGATCAATCCTTTTTTCATTAAGCTAGGTTTTGTTTAAATTTTTGATGCCTTATATTGAATTAATACTGCTGATTATACGCCATAGATATTGAGTTTAAGATAATCTATGATACTAATTATTTGACCCCTAGTTTATATTATGTTCAGTCTCCATTTTATTGTGTTTGAAGTGCTTGTTATTGTTATATTGGATCAACATGTGTATCTGGATGGATGTCAAACACAGCTGCCTTAATCTCAGAAGCAGAAAGCAGTGTTATAAGCAATTGGTTAACCTCATCTGAAACATAAGGCGACAGAGCTTCCAATATTGTACTCTCCATACTCCCATCAGCCACACCTGGAGAAGCAAACAGATTCTCGAAATAAGATGCAATAACACTCCCAATTTGATCCTCCTCAAAAACTGCAACTCCATCTTCATTTTCCATCACTGACAGTTTGTTGATAGCCTGTCTTCCCCTTGTGGCTGCCTGAAAGAAACCTCAATTTTGATCTCCTAAGCATAGCCACAACCACCTACTCCTTTGTTTCCAAAAGGCTTCTTCCTCCTTGTAAGCCTGTTTTAAATCTGCATTAATCTTAGACAACAAGGTCTCATTAAGAACAGTGCTTGTCATTGCCTTTTCCAATTCCTCCCGATGTCTCTTGATACATAATTGGCTGTTCCTTTGCTTTTTTTCTCTATTCCAGGCAACTAGTGCAGATCTACAATTGGCTATGCGAGTCTGAACTGAAGCGTTACTTTCTTCTTGCCAAGTAGTTTTGACTAAGGTCTTAACTTCTTCATTATCCTTCAACCTTCTGTCATACCTAAACAGTCCTCTTCCCTTCTTCTTCTTCATAGAGAAATGAGTAAGACGGGGACGATGATCAGAGCCTTCAAACCTCAGATATTGGCTTCGACCATCAGGAAAAGATTCAGCCCAAGAACTATTACCCATAGAACGATCCAATCTGCAAGAAACAACATGTTTGTGTCTTACTCCTCTCCAAGAGAGAAAATTTCTAGAGAAGCCCAGATCGAAAAGATCAAACTCAGACATAAAGGATCTAGACTCTATAAAAGAGCTTTCATGACGAAGCGGTCCACCTTTTTTCTTTGAGTTACTAATCAGAACATTGAAATCACCTGATAAAAACTAGGCACCCTCTCTTGATGCTGCTATATCCTTCAAAGCACTCTAAACAATGCTTCTTTTACTCATGTCTCGATCGCCATATACAAAAGTAGCATAAAAGGTACTATGATGGACAGGCAGATAAAATCTGAACATCAATATCCTTCTTCCAAAACAGTGCCAGTACTCCTCCTCCATGACCATGTGGTGCTACCAGTTGGCTATGAATATAACTCAAACCTTCCATCGCTTGAAGGGTTGTAGTCGCTGCAATTTTAGTCTCCATCAATAAGAAGATATCAGGGGAAAAAGAACGATGCAGCTCCTTGATCCTTCGAACTGTATCAGGGTTCCCCAGTCCCTGACAGTTCCAAGACATGATATCTAAGGAAGGGGACCAGGAGGGAGGGGCCAAAAATCCGCACCTCGCGAGTTTCTGGAAGTCCCTTCTTGAGATATATTATCCTGGTTCTGACCACATGGGCCTGGTTGAGGGTGAGGGCTATTTGATTCCCCTGCATCTTGAGTATAACATGCTGCCAAATGTGGATCCATATCTAAACGTCGTTTCGAAGATATTGTAGAGAGAAATAATCTTCGTTTCTTCTTGGACTTTCCTCCTTGAGAAACATTGGGGCTTGGTTGTTGCTTCTTCCTACTAAGAGCCTTCCCTGGTGGACGTCCAACTGGCCTACTACCTTTCTTTTTCACTATGCTTCTCTTCTTTGGCCTATGGGGAAGGATTAACATATTCGTAGGACCCAATCGTAGAGCAACTGGCACTCTTACCGGGCTAACAGATCTTGAAAGAGAAATAGGGAGAGAAACCTCCTACTTTGACATTTTTAAACTGGTTCGAACCATTCCCTCATCTGTTTCTACAAACTCTCCTTTTTCCTCAACATGTTTAACCCTCTCTTTTCTAGCTGCACTCTCTGTTGGATCGGGACAATTAGCATACTGTCCCATAACTTCACGCAACTCTCCTAAGGCCACTTCAACTGCTTCTGAAGGCAAAATAGGTTTAGTTACCTGCTTTTCACGACCCACTTCTTCATCCTTGCTTCTGGTCCTGGTTCTGGGAGCCATAGAGGCTGGGCTATCTCTAGATTTTCCAAACCCTTCCCTACGCTGTGGGGGAGAGTGATCTCTTAAATTATGATGTGAGCTACTAGAGAAGTATCTAGATATTTTCTCAACATCCCTTAGGGAGGAACTGTGTCCAAGTCTCTCTAGTCTCCTCTCATCAAATCAAATGGGACCGGAAATGCGAATTTGGATGCCTTGGATCACGCCGCTCCGGCGAAGTTCTTCTAAGTCAAGAGGGCAAATCCCGTCTTGAATGATGATGTATCTCGCGATAGCTTGAGACTCTTCCTTGCCTCTCCTCTCTATGCCCTGTCTCACTTCTACTGCGGGGAGGGAGACGAGACCTCGGAGAGAAGGATCTTCTTGCTGGCCTCCTAGAGGGACAATCCTTGTCATCATGGTCCAAGAGGTGACAAAGCTTACAATGCTTTTTGAGACGTCCATACACCAGCTCTGCTTCGACTTCTTCACCGTTCCTGAACTCTACAATTGAGGTTTTTATAAGCGCTTGTAGTCCATTAATGTGGACCCTTACTCTTGCTGTTGATGCAGACACTTCTACTACTGAAACTGCCCCTAAATCTTTACCAATGCTTCTGATAAGGTCTTCCGTCCAGAGGTGAACAAGGATTTTTTTTATTTGGATCCATAAAGGAATCTCAGAGGGGAAGGATTGGGAGATAATAGGTTCCCATCTTTGAATAATCAACATAAAGCCATCGAAGTGATACGACCTACTCTCTAGTACAAGCTGGAGATCTTCTTCACAAGCGAACTGGAATTTGAAAAGTTTGTGCCCTAATTCTGAGCAAAGCGGGGGAGATGAGGTTTTCCAATGCTCCGTGAAAAACGAGATGAGTGACCAAGCTCGTTGAACCACCGGGTTTGTAATCCTTCCAATGAGAGGTAGCTTGTGAATATTGAGAAGCTCAGAGTTATCACTATCAGGCGCTTTAATTCTGGATACTCTCGGGCGAACACTTGAGTATGCCACTGCTTTTCCTTTCTCGGCATAAGAGTAGCGATTTGTCATGACTGTGAGAGGACTCTGGAAGTACGGAGAAGAGAGCGGCAACAACTAGCACACGAACAGTGGGAAAGCGCTCAAACCACAAGTGAGGAATCTAGGAGAAGATGAACGGCCTATTAGAGAAACAATAAACCCAATTCCTTCTTTTGCCAGCTGATGAACACCTAAAATCAACAAAGGCTCGACGGAAAATCCAGATGTAGATCTGCTGGGGAGATGATGAAACAAACCTTGGGAAGACCACCTGGGAGCATAGTTGAAAGCAAAGTTTAAGACATGAAATTTTTTTTTCCCAGTTAGATTTTTTTTTTTTTTAATTGCGGTTTTTTGTCCATTGCTAAGGAGCTATCTATTAAAAATCTTATGGTTTAACAAGTTGATATCAATATAATATACTATGAACTTTTATTATTTACCCAATTATGAATACATAGAGAAATACATACAGTATGTGAGTGATTGGTTGGGAAGAACTGTTAATTTTGTTGCTTCAACATTTACTATAGATGTAGATGTAGTTAAAGATGGGCCTTAAAATTTGTATTCAGCCCCGACTTGTTGTATGACCCATAACTCAACTCGTTGATATGCCGATCTAAATCTTAATTGTAATTTTTTAAGTTTTAATATTTAATTTAAAATTATAATTAGAATCATTTCGGTCGTCTAATTTTTTGAAAATTTTAAAATTACGGTATCAAAACAACGTCGTTATGTCGTATACAATGTCACTTCACTCTCACGCTTGAAATCATGTAAATAATCAAAAAAAATGTTTTTGCTGAAAATTAAGCAAACAATAAGCAAAATATGACTTCATTACAAGTTCAACTTTATTACAAGCTCTACCGATGCAATGTGTTATGTCATATTGTCACCCAATCTTTTTAATATAAAATGAGAAGTATAAAATAAATAAAAATCAAATTAGGGGGAATTTTTATTCCCACCCATGCAAACTACATTTCTTCCATCAACGACTTCCTGATTCACATTCCTCTATAGTATTCAAATGGAGATTTAGAAAAGAGACCAAATTCGAAAACATTCCCTCTAGAAAGAATAGTATATGTACTTATAAGAGAATGAATAATAGTGATTACATCAGTAGCTGAGGATGCATATGTATCATGAAGAGAAACACACATAAAAAAAATGATACAATGAACAAGTATGTGTCCATGTCTGAAGGAAAAAACCAAGGTATTGTATTTAGAAATATAATGAAAAGAAAGAGGAGATAATTGATTGTGTTCAGAAATATAAAGAAAACAAAGATAAGCAAATTGACTTGGACTAGTTCTTCATACCATTTCTGTTATTTGGACTAGGACTTAATACTTTTAGTTGTCCAAATTTAAGACAGAAGACTTTAAGAATTTTAGTTAAAATAAGACTTGTAAGAGGAATAAGACTTTTTTGTTTTTAGTACAATTTTAACAGATGTGCGAGAAGACATTTTTATGAGATGAGACATCTCTAAGGTTTCAAAGTAGTCATTTTCTGTAAATCAAATGTTTGTTATATGTTTCTCATATAAGCATTATTCTTGTTTTCTTGATATGCACTTGTAAGATTTCGAGATTTAAACAGTTTAAAATCATAAATTACCATTCCCTTAAAATTGTTCTAAAAAAAGAGTATTTAGCAACAACCAAAAGTCTCATTCAAAGTGCTAGTCAAAACACCAAATAAATTTATTTTATTATTAGTTTTTTTTCTTGTAAACTATTTATTTTATTATTACAAAGTAAATAAAGGAGGAAGTACAAAATATCTTAAAATATTTTTTAGTGACTAAGAAACCCATCGCAAACACTGAGGCTGGCCCCCGTCGCGTCTATCACGGCAAGGATTTAGCTCATAGATGCTCCAAATACATTCGCTGCAAACTCCAAATTTACTCTTTGGATTGTCGTCTCTATCTGCTCTGAAAATATCAAACGTTGCTGTGTTGTTTGGCCACTCGAAACTGCAAGTGTACGTTGTTGTTTTACGGAGATTGACACGAAATTTGAAATCAAAACTCTCTCCCCAGTTGAGTCTTCTTACTCCTAAATCATCCCCTTTGTTTCTACAATGCACAGTCAACACAGAATGGGAGACCAATTTGTTGATGATAACAACATGTTTAGATGAGAATAGGAAGAGTCCATTGGACGAATAGGTTTCCGATGATGCCGAAATTTTGAGAGCCAATGTATATAAGACAAACACAAAAATTTGGTTTGTGAAAGAAGCCATGGTTGTGTTGTAGTTTAAGAATTTGTGAGATCGTATTTGTTTTGTTTGAGATGCAAGGATTTTATAGATGAAATTATATTTATTGGGTTAAGTTTTTCACGGAAAATTATCTTCTAAGATAAATGTGAGAATCTTTAGTTTGTAACGTATAATACACAATTACAAGCATACTATTATTAAATTAAAATTTAATTGATTTCTAAATCATTATTATTCTTTGCCAACAAAATGGTAAAATCCATGGAAGTTTCAATTTTTTCCTAAGAAACTCTTCATTTATGAGATTATATTTGTATTTTTTTGAGATGCAAGGATTTATAAATGAAAACTACATTTATTGGCTTAAGTTTTATACAGCAATATTCTGAGATAAATGTGAGAATCTTTTAGTTTTGTAAACGTATAATACACTATCTCAAGCATACTAATTTCTAAATCATTATTATTCTTTGGCAACAAAAAAGGTCGAATCCATGGAGTTTTCTGTTTTAGAAATTTATTTCTTCACTATGTATGTGTCTAATTATTCATTATGATCATATAATTTGATATTTATAGTAGCAAATAATTATGGGTATCTTAGTTGCTTTATGGTAGTTATACACAAAACTTTGAAATGTACCTAAAACTACATGAACTTAAGTAAAATTTGAATTTTCTACACAAACTATCTAAATCCGCTCAAAATCATCAAATCGGTAAACGGAGTTACAATTCCATTTAATAACTGATGACTCGGATGCCACGTGGAACGACAGACCATAAAACGACGACGTTTTATTGTTTTTAAAATATTAAGTCAAAATAATTACATAAAATGGAATCGAACCCATGTCCTCTGAAACCCATCTGCTCTAACGCAACATTTGTTGTAAGCAAAACAAATAATCTCAGGAATTAAAAAATACAATGAAAAGCAAACCATTTTTTCCGATTAAACGTACCTGCGAAGGTAACCTCCTTCTTTATTTTTCATGGATTAGATCCAGGAATTGGGACTTTTATTTGTAGATTAAATCGAATTTGATTAAAATCATGTATTACATCTGATCCATTAATAGGTCAACTTGATTTGTTGAAGGAAAATAAAATGGTGATTGAAACTTTTTTTTCTTTTTTTTTTTTGTCAGGTGATTGAAACTAAATTGGGTGATAAACAATATCTCAGTTCCTGGCATCTTAATTTGAAACTAATCTCTGGATCTGATGTCGGACTTCTTAATTTGTAAGTAAGAAAACTTAATCATCATAAGTATCTCAGTTGTTGAAGTGGCAGCGGAAGTAGTGAGTTGAGGAGAAATCAGAAACAGAAATCGAAGAAGAAGAAAGAATTAAGCGTTTATTTTTCTTCATTTTCTGAACTTTAAGATATATTTTTCTTCATTTTCTGAACTTTAAGATATATATATATATATGAACTTTAAGATATATATATATCTATCCATTTATTGATATGTTACGGTAGGTCAGTTGGTGATATACGCTCTTGAGAGTACTAATGTTTTTTTTCAAATTTATTGCCCTAAATTATATAAAACGACGCCGTTTTATGGTCCATTGTTCCACGTGGCATCCTAGTCATCAGTTATTAAACGGAACTGTAACTCCGTTTAACGATTTGATGGTTTTGACCGGATTTAGATAGTTTGTGTAGAAAATTCAAATTTTACTTAAGTTTATGTAGTTTTAGGCGCACTTCAAAGTTTTGTGTATAACTACGATAAAGCAATTAAGTTCATGGGGAATATGCCGTTTTCCCATCTTTGGTTAAATTGAAAGTTTGTTTTTTTTTTTATTAATATCAAAGTTTAATAATAGATTTTTTCTTATTTTCAAGAAAAATCCTTTATGTATAATATTTTCTATTAAAACTACCAAAATTAATTGGGTTTATGAGTTGATACAACAAAAGATTTCGGTTAAGCTCGTACTTTTACTTCAGAACCAACACTTGATCAATCCTTTTTTCATTAAGCTAGGTTTTTTAAAAAAATTTTGATGCCTTATATTGAATTTATACTGCTGATTATACGCCATAGGTATTGAAATTACAACATAGATATTGAGTTTAACATAATTTATGATACTAATTATCGCGTTTTATATGGTTTGACCCCTAGTTTATATTATGTTCAATCTCCATTTCATTGTGTTTGAAGTGCTTGTTATTGTTATATTAGATCAACATGTGTACATGGATGGATGTCAAACACAACTACCTTAATCTCAGAAGCCGAAGGCAGTGCTATAAGCGATTGGTTAACCTCATCTGAAACACAAGGCGATAGAGCTTCCAATATGGTACTCTCCATACTCCCATCAGCCACACCTGGAGAAGTAAACAGATTCTCGAAATAAGATGCAATAACACTCCCAATTTGATCCTCCTCAAAAACTGCAATTCCATCTTCATTTTCCATCACTGACAGTTTGTTGATAGCATGTCTTCACCTTGTGGTTGCGTGAAAGAAACCTGAATTTTGATCTCCTAAGCATAGCCACAGCTGCCTACTCCTTTGTTTCCAGAAGGCTTCTTTCTCCTTGTAAGCATGTTTTAAATCTGCATTAATCTTAGACAACAAGGTCTCATTAAGAACAAAGCTTGTCATTGCCTTTTCCAATTCCTCTTGATGTTTCTTGATACATAATTGGCTGTTCCTTTGCTTTTTTCTATTCCAGGCAACTAGTGCAGATCTACAATTGGCTATGCGAGTCTGAACTGAAGATTTACTCTCTTCTTGCCAAGTAGTTTTGACTAAGGTCTTAACTTCTTCATTATCCTTCAACCTTCTGTCATACCTAAACAGTCCTCTCCTCTTCTTCTTCTTCATAGAGAAATGAGTAAGAAGGGGACGATGATCATACCCTTCAAACCTCAGATACTGGCTTTGAGCATCAGGAAAGGATTTAGCCCAAGAGCTATTACCCAAGAACGATCCAATCTGCATCAAAATCAATGATCCAATAACCCCCTCTTAGAAAAGAGACCAAATTCAAAAACATTCCCTCTAGAAATAATAGTATATGTACTTATAAGAGAATGAATAATAGTGATTACATCAGTAGCTGAGGATGCATATGTATCATGAAGAGAAACACACATAAAAAAAATGATACAATGAACAAGTATGTGTCCATGTCTGAAGGAAAAAACCAAGGTATTGTGTTTAGAAATATAATGAAAAGAAAGAGGAGATAATTGATTGTGTTCAGAAATATAAAGAAAACAAAGATAAGCAAATTGACTTGGACTAGTTCTTCATACCATTTCTGTTATTTGGACTAGGACTTAATACTTTTAGTTGTCCAAATTTAAGACAGAAGACTTTAAGAATTTTAGTTAAAATAAGACTTGTAAGAGGAATAAGACTTTTTTGTTTTTAGTACAATTTTAACAGATGTGCGAGAAGACATTTTTATGAGATGAGACATCTCTAAGGTTTCAAAGTAGTCATTTTCTGTAAATCAAATGTTTGTTATATGTTTCTCATATAAGCATTATTCTTGTTTTCTTGATATGCACTTGTAAGATTTCGAGATTTAAACAGTTTAAAATCTTAAATTACCATTCCCTTAAAATTGTTCTAAAAAAAGAGTATTTAGCAACAATCAAAAGTCTCACTCAAAGTGCAAGTCAAAACACCAAATAAATTTATTTTATTATTAGTTTTTTTTCTTGTAAACTATTTATTTTATTATTACTAAGTAAATAAAGGAGGAAGTACAAAATATCTTAAAATATTTTCAAGTGACTAAGAAACCCATCGCAAACACTGAGGCTGGCCTCCGTCGCGTCTATCACGACAAGAATTTAGCTCATAGATGCTCCAAATACATTCGCTGCAAACTCCAAATTTACTCTTTGGATTGTCGTCTCTATCTGCTCTGAAAATATCAAACGTTGCTGTGTTGTTTGGCCATTCGAAACTGCATGTGTACGTTGTTGTTTTACGGAGATTGACACGAAACTTGAAATCAAAACTCTCTCCCCAGTTGAGTCTTCTTACTCATAAATCATCCCCTTTGTTTCTACAATGCACAGTCAACACTGCATGGGAGACCAATTTGTTGATGATAACAACATGTTTAGATGAGAATGGTAAGAGTCCATTGGACGAATAGGTTTCTAATGATGCCGAAGTTTTGAAAGCCAATGTAAAGAAGCCATGGTTGTGTTGTAGTTTAAGAATTTGTGAGATCGTATTTGTTTTGTTTGAGATGCAAGGATTTTATAGATGAAATTATATTTATTGGCTTAAGTTTTTCACGGAAAATTATCTTCTTAGATAAATGTGAGAATCTTTAGTTTCTAACGTATAATACACAATTACAAGCATACTATTATTAAATTAAAATTTAATTGATTTCTAAATCATTATTATTCTTTACAAACAAAAATGGTAAAATCCATGGAAGTTTCAATTTTTTTCCTAAAAAACTCTGCATTTATGAGATTATATTTGGGTTTTTGAGATGCAAGGATTTATAAATGAAAACTACATTTATTGGCTTAAGTTTTTTTTACAGAAATCTTCTGAGATAAATGTGAGAATCTTTTAGTTTGTAAACGTATAATACACTATCTCAAGCATACTAATTTCTAAATCATTATTATTCTTTGGAAACAAAAATGGTCGAATCCATGGATTTTTCTGTTTTAGAAATTTATTTCTTCACTATGTATGTGTCTAATTATTCATTATGGTCATATAATTTGATATTTATAGCAGCAAATAATTATGGGTATCTTCAAATTGAAAGTTTGTTAATTTTTTTATTAATATCAAAGTTCAATAAGAGATTTTTTCTTATTTTCAAGAAAATTCATTTATGTATAATATTTTCTATTAAAACTACCAAAATTAATCGGGTTTATGAGTTGACACAACAAAAGATTTTGGTTAAGCTCGTACTTTTATTTTAGAACCAACACTTGATCAATCCTTTTTTCATTAAGCTAGGTTTTGTTTAAATTTTTTTATGCCTTATATTGAATTTATACTGCTGAATATACGCCATAATTATGGAAATTACAACATAGATATTGAGTTTAAGATAATTTATTATACTAATTATCGCGTTTTATAATGGTTTGACCCCTAGTTTATATTATGTTCAATCTCCATTTCATTGTGTTTGAAGGCTTGTTATTGTTATATTGGATCAACATGTGTTCCTGGTATGCTTTCAACTTAATTATAATTTTGTGATTTTGAATCTCTATCTAGATTCATGTTGATGTGCCTTCACGGCCTCGTTTTGCAATTTACTTCTCTTTTCTCTTCTTCCTTGTTTGTTTGTTTGGCAATTGACTCTTTTCTTTTTGGTTTGGAAATTGTCATTTTTTCTTGGTAAAGTGACCTTAGTCTAGTGGCAAATAATAAGTCCACTGATGGACATGCACCATCATATCAAGGATCGAGTAATGCCAGGTGTGGCCCAAAAAAACAAAAAAACAAAAAAGGCAATTGTTATTTTCAAACTTAAGCTATGTCATTTGCCGTTTTTTGCTATTAATTGTGTTATTGGTTCCGGTTAGCCAAATTGAAGTTACCTATACTGATTTTGCGTTTTTAAGCTTCGTTTTGTACAAAACTCTGTCCAATGTAATCTAATATATTTAATACACTTATTATTCTCTTTTCACCTTTATACAATATTATTTAAATTTTATTTAATTTTATTACATAAAATATATGAATTAAAAAATAGATTTTTTCTCATATGTTGTACTTTGAATTTTCAAAAACGGACGTATATTACTCAATCGGTAACACAAAAAAGTGTATGTAAAACGTCCCACATCGGTTAAATGGAAGTAAAATTATTTGATTTACTTAACATTTACTATATGAAAGTAAACATGATGAAAATAAATTTAAATAAGTACAATAATTTATTTATCAACTCTTCAATAAAAAGTAGCACAGGTTGTCCCTTAATTCTTAATTAAATTGAAACTCACCGTAGTTTTTGTATAAAGGACTTTTTATATTATATTTTAAAAATCGACTAAATCAATCATTGGTCAAACTCTGCCAAAATTCGCCGTAACCATTAAAACTTTTCGTTCACACTTTTCAATCATTCAAATCCATATGAGTCAATAGTCATATGGTTTTGTCATACTTGAAATCGAAACATAATTTAACAATTTTTATCAATCACAAACTACACTATACCAACCATTTACACTTTACAGATCTTTCTCAAGTGTATTTTTCCTATAATACAATTCCCTTACTATATTATCATTATGCATTACCAATCATACTAATATATCTTCTAAATAGTGACAGCTCATAAAACTATATATCTATAATACACCCACACACAAATAGTGCTTCTCAATTCTCTAAACCAAAACACTCTTCTTACTTCTTCACCTCTTAGAAAAGCTATGAAGGGACAGAACAAAAGCTCAACTTCTTCTTGTAATATACATCCAGTAGATTTTGTTGAAGGTGTGTGTCCTCTTTGTCTTAACGAGAGGCTTCTGGTCTTAGCTACTCTACAGAGTCTACGTCCTAAATCTCCTTCAGTTTCATACCAAACCAAACAAGAACCCAAAGTCATCCTTCAAGATCCACCTAGAAAGAAACCTATCAGAGTGTCCTCCTTATTTAGCTTCTTCGAACTCCGACATCATTATGATCAGAAGACTGATCACCAAAACACCTCTATCATTAGTCCAGAAGGTATCATATAATAAACCCTTTTATGTTATTTACGTAATATATATACATTATATATAGCCAAAACTATTGTAGGTTTTGAACAATAAATTTCTTTTACAAAATTTATAACTTTTAAAATAATATCAAAATATATATGGTTTTCGGAACAGTATTTTAATAAATACGTTATTTTCATATGATTAATATCATATATATATATACATATATATGTTCCTTCAAGGAAATATAAATCTGTTATTTCATATGATAACAACTTTTTAGTTAAACACTTTTAATATTTTCTTACATGATATGTCAATTATATTTATAAAAAAAAAATAGAAGAAGTTAGATTAGCATATGGAAACTTTTCGTTAACAACGATGGTTCACTTAAATCGTTTCAACTTTGTATCATTTTAGATTCATTCATTTCGATCAACTTCGAAGACAACCAAGCAACTTCATGGGATAAAGGAAAAGAACATTGCAAGGCTTCATGTAATTATCAATATCAACATGTCATGCTCGACAAGAAGAAGATGGAGATTGTTCCTCAGCCTATGCCACGTTCTCAACTAACGTGGAGGAAACGGATTCGTCGGCTCTTGCGAGTCATCAGTTTCAAGAACCGGTCTAGAGCATGCCATTTGTCTGCCAAGGTTGAAGATGAAGATGACTTGAGAAGAAGTTGGCTAAGGCCTTTGTCCCCCACCACCAACAAGACACCCCCAATTTAGTTTACTCATAACTGCAATATTCATTTGTTTAAATATTATGTTATTACAACTATTTTTCTCTCTTACAATAAAATTAGGACGACTTTTCCTTGTTATTAGTTGTTTGGAAGTTTAAACCTCAACATCTATTTTGAAAGAAAAATACATATACTAATTAATATTTGTGATTTAAAATAAAAAAAATATATAGATGTTGGGCTTTTACTTCATTAACAATAAATCTATATTCTCCTTTATTTGCTTTGATATCAAATATCTTTGCTTTGCTTTTATATCAAATATATAGATGTGGGACTTTTACTTCATTAATATGATATATAGTCATTTTACCATTTACAATTAGTAAACCCCCATATTTTACAAGTAATATAAGCTCTTCTCTAATAGGATTTATATGTACATCTAAACATTTTGTGTTATCCCTATTATTATGCATGCATGGTAGTAAATTAGGATGTAAACGTTAGAAAGAAATCCTTAGATACAACTGATATTTTCTATAGAGCAAATGATATTCTTGTGAAAACGTGAAACAAAACATAACTAGAGAAATTTTATAGTTAAATTGAAAACTTGAAACAAAATTTAATAAATTGGCTTAATAATTTAACAAATTGATTGCCGACAAAAAACAAATTGATTAAATAGTCCCATAGGAGCAAAATGTATAAGTCTAACAGATAAAATGGAACTTTTTGGAGTTTATATTATATATAATGGTACTTCCCCCCCCCCCCCCAACATATATATAATATATAATGTTACCTCAACCTCTAAAATATAAATTAAGTTGTTTGCATGTATATATAGTGGCACGACACATCTTTCAATATGTTATAATTATTAAAATGATTTTAATAACAAAAATAAAATAATAAAAAACTATATAAAAAAAAGTAATCAAAAATTAAGCAAAAAATGAGCAAAACATAAGTCAAATTTTTATAATATAAATAATGTTTATATATTCAATAAAATGTCGAAGGTCTTTTTTTCATATATAATATAATTTTGTCTAACCCTCCAAATTTAGATGGTAAGATCCGTTTGAATGCCTCTAAAAGTTGACGTAGGAGAAATCGCCCCCTCGATGATAATTGTGCGGCTTGTTTGAATGAAACCAGCGTACCGGAGATTGTAGCACCGAGCCTTGTTGTATGCATCCCTCTGTACGTATTGTATGATTGTTGTCCCTATATATGTATATGTTAATTAGTAGCTTTTGCTTATTTATTTTGTGGTACGTACATGCGCGCATGCAAGTATACTACTTGATTTTTAAGATTTGTTTGGAGGAAACATAAAAACAAAAAAAAAAAACAAAAAAGAAAAACTTACAAAGAGCTTAATTTAGGATTTGAATTTGACACAGCCACTTGTATATATATATTTAGAAGGTAAAGTTGTGCTCACTGCATGATTGTTTTTCTAAACCAAATTTGTTATTTTTTTTATTTTTTTTTGGAGTTTATATATGACCACATGAAATTAAATCTGAGAGACTTTACGAAAATTAGAAAATGGAATTGCTTTTCTTGTAATATGATGGGTTACAAAAAGATGTAAAGAAGTCGTAAAAGCAAATATCACCGGTTGGATCTAAACATAGAATTATAGAAGCTTAATAATACATACATATATACCTTTTTCAATCAAACCAGATTAATCTATTCGTTGTCCAATATTTTTTAGTAGAGGATCAGAAAGTTAAAGCTTATAGCACAAACACTAAAATAGAGAGTAGTATATAAGTAAAGGGTGGGATTTTTGGTGATAGATATCGAAAATCTATTCGAGGATTTTAAGGGGGAGGGGAGAGACTTCGTAAAAAAATCTCTCAAATCGGTTACACCTTATTATCAATTATAAGAGATTTATCTTTTACACCTCATTTAGACCAGTTCAATCCTGGGAAAATAAACCAAAAAAGGTTGACGAGCTCGAGAAAGCAGTGCATAACCTTTAGGATGATGTCTAGCAGATCTTGGTTCCCGATGAAGATGTCAAAGATATGAAGAAGCAACTAAGTAAACTTGACGTCATTGAGAAACAAATGAGAAAGTTGGACGTTCTGGAAGAGTTGAAATGATGATTTGCGGTTTACAAAAGAGACATTTGATCTGAGCCAATTCGCCATAAAGTAAGATTTACCATAATGAGGTTTTGTTTGCTTTCAACTTTTTAACGTAGTGAACTTCATGTTAATTGAGAGCCTTAATTTGTTTTCAACTTTTTAGCATAGTGGTGAAGTCATCTTTATTAAATGATCAAAGCATGAACTTCGTGGGAATGCAATGTTCATGTAAACGATTTGAATAATTATAATAGACAATCAAACTATTATAACTCCAGTCGTTCGGTTTGGCTCCTTTAGCTAAAATATAATGCACCAAAGTTGAACCTTCCAACAATTTTTTTTGGATTGAATTGGATTAAATTTGGGTTTAAGTAGTTTGAAGAGACAAAATCTTTGAAGCCATTTTAATTATTGGAATTCATTATACTTTTATATATTTTTTTTTATTTTTTTTTATGAGCTTTTAGGATGATTAATGTGCACGTAGTCCTCTTAAGCCTGTTTACATCTTCTTGCTATGTACATGAGTTTATGGATTATAACTTACCCGACTTAAAAGCTTCATCAAGTCGTATTTTGCTTTCTTTTTTATGATCTTGTAAATAAATCTTCTAATGTTTTGTATCCTACACATACTAATCAATATCTGTTTTTGGTAACCATAATTTGTTTTTTTTTAGTATGGATTTTTTTTCTTAAAAAAAAGTATTATTTCTAATTGGTAATATTTACATCAAAAATAAGATTTAATCATAATTATCAATAATTTTTAAGAATCAATTACAACAAAAAACAACAATCATCATGATTGAATAGAACACTATAAAAATTTGATACATGAAATCTATTAGAGTTGAATTCTAACAAAAATTAATGTAAATTTGAGAATAAATAACAACATAATAGGCATATTTCATTAATTTTTAT